CCGAGGACATAGGTCCCAGAGACAAATCTCTCCAGAGATCATGTCTCCCCTTCTTCTACAAGCTAAACAGCCCCATCTGCACTTGATCTCAAGGACCTACACCATCCTCTGCCCTATTCGGGAGACCTCTGGAAACGGGCACCCAATTCATAGCAGCATCTTTGTGGTAACAAAACACTGGGAACAAAGTGGGCTGGGTAACCGCTGATTGGCCAAAGAAACCAGCATATGAATATAATGGGACCTTGTTTGACTTTGGGAGGTCACAAATACCAAGTCTTGCTGCTGACTCTCTGTGATGGCTGCTTCCTTTTCTGGATATTCATGTACCATCCCTTTAATGCTCTGTTCCAGAATTTTGACCAGAATCAAAGCCAAGCTCACTGGCCTGAAGCCTACATACTCTGTCCTGTCTATTCCTTTATTGGATAATTGAGACATTGGCTCTTCTCTAATTCTAAAGTGGCATTCTTGTTTTCCACCTCATTCAGGTTCAGGTAGCCCATAAATTTATACCGGATCTCTAAGGTTCCTAGAAGTCCTAAATCCTATGACCTAAGGGAGGCCAGTGAATAAGAAGGAAAGGTAACCCTATTTATAAAGGAGGGAAATTGTGGATATACTGCATTAAAGAAGGAGGGGCTTTTTGTGGGGAACTAGCCAAGGTGGGGTGGGGGGAGGGATCCTACAAGGAGGTGGCACTGGTATAGGGGAAGTGAGAGGGCAGTTTCAGGAAAGGGCAGAGTATAAGAGAAGGCCTAGACCACAAGCACAACATAGAGGGGACATAGTATAGGATGGAGAAACCAAGTATGGGGCCAACAGGGAAAAAGCCACAGGGCAAGGCAATGTGCCAGAGAAGGAAGGAGGTAAACATTTATTAAATGCCTACCGGCACTTAATCAGCAAATATCTCATCTGATCTTCACAACGACCCCGGGAGGTAGGTGCTGTTATTATCCACACTTTAAAGGTGGGGAAACTGAGGCCGACAGATGTGAAGTTTCTTGACCAGGGATTAGCCCAGGACCTAGAGACAATCGGAACTGTTCTGATGTCCAGCCTCCGGCATTTACTAGCTGAGGACCCTGGACAAGGCATTTCAGGGCTGCCTGCCTCAGTTTCCCCACCTGTAAAGTGGGGATAACAGCACCCACTTCCTGGGGTTATTGTGAGGAGCGAACTTAAAAGGTTCTATAAACGCTGCTAATATTGCTAGTTAATTGTTATTATTCATGAGAGCTGGCTACGTATGGAGCGGTGCGGAATCTGGAAGGGCGCCTCCTACAGGAAGAGTCAGGAGGGGGAGGGTACACCGGGCACCGCGGGGGGCGAGGCGCAGACCAGGGGGAGGGACCGTGCGGGGGCCGGAAGGGCTGGAGCGCCGAGGAGGGCCCAGCACGTGGAGGGAGGAGCGGCGGCCCACGGCCAGCGCGCGTGCGAGGCGGAGAGCAAGGAGGTTCGGCAGGGGGCGGGGCGGCGGGCGCGGTCACGGGCGGGGGGCGCGCTCACCCTCGAGCACAAACTTCTGTGCGTAGCGCTTGAGGTTCTTGCGCTTGATAGAGCCGAAGGCAGGCGGGAAGGCGCCCTCGGCCAGCAGGCGCCGGATGTCGGCGAACTTGTTCCCGCCGGGGCCCAGGCCGGGCGCAGTGGCCGCCGCCGCCGTTTCCTCCTTCTCGGGCCCCTGTGGCGGCCCCGTGGCTCCGTCCATAGCTGCGGCAGCAGCCGCCGCGGGGGCAGCCCGGACACTATTCCCGGGGACACCCGAGGAGGCGGGGCCGAGGGGAGGGAGGAGGCAGCTGTAAGGGAGCGTCGGCCAAGAGGCGCCCGTAGCCACCTGCGAAGTTCCCAGGCAGGGTTCGTGTGTCAAGAGTGGATCTCGGTGCCGGGCGCACAGACTCTTTTCGGAAGGACGTCTATTTCAGTCCCTTGACCACCTGCCTGCCCCGCTACCCACCAACCCCGGAAAACCCAGGAGAGTGGATGGGGAGCCTCCCGCCACCCCCTCAGAAGCCGGCAGGGGCTTGGGATGAAATGGATTGAGTTTAAGGAATGGGAGTCGGCGCAGGTTAAAAAGGGTGGGGGACATCCTAGGGGAGGGGTCCAGCTGGCAGTTGGAAGAGGGGACCAGAGCACCCGGGAGAGAGAGGTCAGGGCTGGAGCCTTTGCTTGGAGGAGAGGGGAGGAGCTTTTAGACCGAGCTTCTTGAGGGCAGGGACTGTTTTTTGCTTTTCATTGTATCCCTGGGACATAGTAGGCACTTTATAGGTGGCTCAGTGGATGGAGAGCTAGACAACAACAAAGGCGCTTAATAAACGCTGATTGACTGACATACTGACCAAAGAGAAAAGGATCCAGGACAGAAATGCAAGGATCACAGGACTACAGATTCAGGGCTGGAAGAAGCCTCATGGGCTAACCTTCCCCCCCCCCAATTTTGTTGTTGTTCAGTCATATCTGACTCTCCATGACCCCATTTGGGGTTTTCTTGGCAGAGATACTGGAATGGTTTGCCATTTTCTTCTCCAGTTTGTTTTACAGATGAGGAAACTGAGGCAAACAGGATGAAGTGATTTGATCAGGGTCATATAACTAGTAAGTGTGTGAGGTGGGATTTGAACTCAGGAAGATGTCTTCCTGACCCCAGGCCTGTCACTCTATTCACTGCTACACATGCCTGCCCTAACACAGAAAACAGACCTAGGAATGATTCATCCAAGGTCACATAGCTAGTAAGAAGGATGAGGTGATTTAAATTCTGGTATGGAAAGGAATGGTGTGTAGAGGGGCCACATAAAAAGAGCCACAGTAAGTTAATTCCTAATAGACCAGTGTATGGGGTGTTCAGGGAGGACTAACCCCTGTGGTGGGAGGCCAGCCGAGCCCTTTTCAGGACTGCTCATCTACCTTTGGTGTCCACCTTCATCCGAGTCTCACTTGTGACTCCAAGAAGCTGCAGCATGTGCAGTGGCCACACCTCGGTAAACCATCTCGGCAGATGGGCTCAGGCAGATTAAGGGAAATCAACAGATCTCAAAGCCATTGGTGAGTTAGGGGAGTGTCCACCCCAGCATGTGAGGACCTTCCCCAGTGGAACAGGCGGATGAGAACACTTTGTTCCAGTGGCCACAAAGGTGGCTGCAGTGGGTGCTGGTAGAGTTAGAGCTTGTTCAGATATTGAAGACACCAACGTCACCCATTTCGTCCCAGGCCATCCATGATCTGGACTTTAGTGACTGCTGTACTTGGTACAGGTCTGCCTCACTTAAATCCAATTCACTTCATTGGTCTTCTTTGAAAACAAAGTGTGAAAGAATAGCAACTCACCACTGAGTTGCATTACTGTAGAGATCTTCAAATACAGTCTCTTTTTTTACAGATGGGAAAACTGAACCCAGGGCAGTGCTGTAACTAAGGTGGAGGGACTGTGGCTTTGTCTCAGGGTGCTGATACTGGACACTGATACTGAGTCAGCAAGAATAGTTCATTACAAGGATGATGGCTGTACACCCTACTGAACTCATCTCCTTGCCCTTCTGAATTTCCACCCCTGGGGTATCCAGGGGTTTTTGTTTTTTTGTTTTGTCTACTCACACTTCATCTCCTTCATCATCTGAATTTGTCTTTAAATAGTTGACCTGAAAAGTTGTTGGGTGCCCAAATTAGAGAGTGATGTGCCCAAGGTCAAGCAGTCTTCTGCCTAGTCCAGGGCCCTTTTTCCAACTCTGCCAATAAACCCCAAATTGTTCTAATTATTAATCAGTAAGTCTCCAAGTCTATGTTATATGAGGCTTGGATGAAGGAACTAGAGACATTTAGCCCCAAGAAGAAAAGATCTCAGGGTGGGGGGGTGGTTACCTTCAGGTGCTTGAAGGGCTGGGTGAGAGAATACCCTTGCTCTGATTGGCCACAGAGGGGAGGATTGGGGGAAATTAGAGAGGCAGATTTAGGTTTGATGCCAGGGAAAACTGCCTGGCAGTTAAAGGAACCATTGCTTCTGGAGGTAGTGAGTCACCCATCAGTGTGGCACCAAGTAAAGGCGGAAGTCATTTGGTGCCGAGGATGTCAATGACAGGCCTTGTGACCTAGTGAGATTAGGAGCTGTTGTCCTTAGGATAACCTGGGTTCCAGCCCTGCCTCTGACCCATGCTGGCTTCGGTGATCCTGGACATGGCCATCTGCACGTATTTGAACTGGGATGTGTGACCTTCACATGTCGGAGGATTTTTGGCTAGATTTTGTTCCTGGTTTCTTCATCTGTAAGATGAGGGGGTGGGACTAGCTCTCTGCCCTACACTGACTGTCACCAGTGGACCTGTGTTCCAGGCAAATTGCTTCCTTCCTCTGAGCCTCAGTTTTCTCATTTGTGAAATGGGAATAAACATTGTCATCTCTGCTTCTCGGGGTTGTGAGTATCGAATGTGCCTATAAAGCACTTTGTGGACCTTAATCAAATTTCATAAATGAACCTCCCCCTATTCCTTTGTAAGGGGGTGGGTGGCGGGATGTTGACTATGTTGCCAGGTTTTATTCTATGTATCAAACAGTTTTGCTGTTTTTTATCTCTTCCTCCTTTCTTTTTAAAAAATGTTATAAGGGATGACGGATGGGATACAGGGGAAAATTGAGAGGATGTCAAAACAAACGTCAATAAAAACTTATTTGAAAAATAAATGTCTGCTCTTCTCATCCTCTCGCTTCCCTGGGCCTCGGTTTCCTCCTCTGTAAAATGGGCGGTGGGCCTCTTGGGCCTGAGAGTCCCTGCCCTTTGGGCTGGAGTCACAGGACCCCTTCTCCCGTGGCGCTCCGCGCAGCTCCCCGCTGGGTCCTGATCCCTAAGCGCCGGGAGACTCCGCCTTCCCCGGGTCTGGGCATTTGGAGTCACTCCCTGGTTTCCCCGGGGTGGGGGCGGGGCCGAGGGCGGGCCACGTCCCTCGGGACCGAGGCGTTGCTACGGCGGCCGGGCCGGGCCAGCGGGCCGCGCGCCCCCGCGCCGGCGCTCCCGGCCTGCGCTCCCGGCTCGCGCCGCAGCTGCGCCTTGTGCCCGGCGGGGCGCCATGGCGGCAGCCGGGGCTGGGGCCGCGGCGCGGCGCTTCTTCCGCTGTAACTGCTTCTGCTCCGAGAACCTCTTCCTGCCCCGCTACCGGCTGCACGTGCGCTACCTGGAGGAGCAGCAGCTGCGCCGAGACTACGGCCTGGTAGGAGCTCCCCGCGGGGGCACGGGGCCTCGGTCACAGGGGGGAAACTGAGGCACGGAGCGGGGCTGGGCGCGTAAGGACCCGTCGGAGTGGTGGGCGTCGCCGGGATGGCCTCTCGGAGGGCGTCCGGCCCAGCCCGAGGTCCAGAGAGGGTCATTCACGGCCCAGATCGCCCAGCGAGTGCCCGGCCCAGGCTCGAGGCCAGCCGGGGGCCGGAGCGCCCCCCAGACCGGAGTGGACGACAGACAGCTGTTGGGGGGGGGGGTCTCAGGCAGGAAGACCACAATTCCGATTGGGCCTCGGACGCTTCCTCTCTGTAGTCACTTCCCCTTTGCCTCGTGCCCTTCTCTGGACCTCGGTCTCCTTGTCTGTAAGAGGACCTCCACCGCCCTGTCCTGCTCTGAAGCCGGTGCTTTTATATTTGGAGGCGAAGTTCAGAGCCTGTGCAGCCGCGATGGTCAGGTGCTCCCGAGCTGTCCGGTGTGAAAGAATGAAGCAAACATTTATTAAGCACTTACTGTGTGCAAAGCACCAGCACGTGGAAAAGTCAGACAGCCCCAGCTCGCCAGGAGCCGACGTTCTAGTGGGGGGACGACGCGTAGGGAGGTGGCAGTGCAAACCACGTAGAAAAGGCGCCTGGTCCTTGGGGTGCAGGAGCAGAGCAGGTGAGTCAGGAAGACGCCGCCTTAGATCCGGCCTCAGACCCGTACCGGCTGTGTGACCCTGGCGCTAGGGCCGCTTAGCCTTCCTCAGCTGTAAAATGGGGATAATAATCCTTCCGACCTTCCGGAGTGGTTGGGAGAATCCAATGAGGTAATATAGGGGAAGCGCTCGGCAAGCCTCCAGGTGCTGGGTATGGATGAGCCATTATCATTGAAAGGGCACATGCTTCTCAGAGGAGAAGTGTCACAGAAAGAGCACCAGGGTGGGAGTTCGAGAACCAGGGTCCACATTCTGACTGTACTTCATGCCCTCCTGTGACCCGGTGCCTTAGTTTCTTTATTCTGTTTTGGTTTTGTTTTTTATTTTGTTTGTTTTGGGCAGTTGGGGTTAAGTGACTTGCCCAGGGTCACATAGCTGGTGTCAAGTGTCTGGCCTGAGGTCGGATTTGAACTCGGGTCCTCCTGGCTCCAGGGCCAGTGCTCTATCCACTGCGCCCCCTAGCTGTCCCCCTAGTTTCTTCATTCTGATGAAGTGGGGTGGGGGGCGGGGTTAGATTGCTCGATAGGAATTAATGATCCTACAGCCCCAGAGGCCCCCTCTAGCTGATTCCTATGGAAATTCGCTTTTGTCTGATGAAGGCGCCAGACCCTGAAAGACTGAGTCCCATCTCCAGTATTTACTAGCTGTGTGACCATAAGTGAATCACTTAACCATTCTGAGCTCGTGTCCTTAATGGAGGCAATAATAACTCCCCTAGTGTCTCCCTCACGGAGCTGTCGTGAGGATCCTCAAAACGTTCAATAAATGTCTATTTTTGCCACAAGGGATGAGTTGAAGATTGGGTGAGGGAAGGGGAATGGAGGCTATATTTGGAAATAAAAGAGAGACAAAAACAAAGGTATCGATAAAGATCTAAAAAGCACCCCAAACGCCAGCGGTTACTGTTAAGTGTTCCTGTGATTTAGAGCAGGACAAGACTTTAAAACCACCCAGTCCAGCTCCCTCATTAAAAAAAAAAGCCATTGACCTTTTTTGTTCTTATGTCTCCTTCATTTCTAAATATAACCCTCTTCCTTTTCCTCTCCAGAGAGCCAGCCTTTCTAACACAATAAAAGAAAGGGGGGAGAGGGGAAGCAGTTTAACAAACCTAAGCGAACCATTCATCCAATCTGACAGTGTATATAGATAGCACTCTGCACCCAGGGTCTCCCCTTTGTGCAAAGAAGAGAGGGAGGAGCGTTATTTCATCTCTTCTTCAGGACAAGAACGGTCCTTCTAATTACATAGCATTCTGGTTGTTTTTGGGCACCATTTTATCCGTCAGTATTGTCATCATTGTGTGTGTCCTGCCATCTCCCTCATTTCATGAATGAGGAAATGGAGGCAGGAAGGGATTTGCTCAGGGTCACACAGGTAGCGAATGGCAGAGCCGGAATGGAAGCCCGAGGCATACAGACTCCAAGTCTAGCAGTGTGTGCAGTCTCCCCTGCCCCGTGTTTCCCTGCATCTTCCTCCAGGGAGATTCTAAGGAGAGCATTTTGTAAGAAAGTGAAGTGTTTTGTCACGGAGGGGTGCCGTTGTGAATTCCTCCACTCTTCAGAAAGCTCTGTGGTTTCTTCGGTTTGGGCGCTCTTTCCCTCTGTGGGTGAATTACACCCCTTGTGCTTTTGCTGATCATGCTGTTCCATTGTCGGTCCATCCTTCTGTGAGGCTTACATGTTTTACAAAGTGCTTTCCTTGAGGTGGGTGACATTAACTCCATCTCACAGGTGAAAGAATGGGGAGGTGTTATTGCCATATTTTCACAGATGGGGAAACTGAGGCACAGAGGGGTTAAATGATAGACTTGGAGCCTGAGGGGGTCACCGTTTCTGAGGCTGGATTGGAATTCAGGTCTTTCTTACCTCTTTGCTGACCTTCTTGTACTGAGCCTCTCTGAATTTAGTTAGGCTGTTTGTCAGTTTAGAAATGGAAAGGACCTTAGACATTTATGAACTCTGGGCCTGGAGACAAGAAAAGACCACTAGCAGTGTGAGCCTGGACAGGTTACTTCACTTCTGTCTGCCTCAGTTTCCTTATCTGTAAAATGTGGCTAATAGGGGCAGCTAGGTGTTGCAGTGAATAAAGCACCAGCCCTGGATTCAGGAGGACCTGAGTTCAAATCCTGCCTCAAACACATAACACTTACTAGCTGTGTGACCCTGGGCAAGTCACTTAACCCCATTGCCTAGCCGAAAAATAAAATAAAATAAAGTAAAATCAAATAAAATGTGGATAATAAGAGTACCTCCCTCCCAGAATTGTTGTAAGGACCAAATGGGATAATAATTGTAAAGTGCTTAGCACAGTGCCTGGAATATAGTGGGTGATTAATAAATGTTAGCTGTTATTAAATTATGTAGTCATAGCTTCATAGCTGTAGCGCTGAAAAGGGTCTCAGAAGCCGTCTGCTCCAACTCTTTCATTTTATCAGAGGAAACTGAAGCCCAGGGTCACACAGGTCATATCAGAGGTGAGATTTGAACCCAGGCCCTCTGACTTCAAAGACTGTGCTTTTCCATTGTACCATGATCCCATGCAGTAAGGTTGTGTAGTCCAACCCCCTCCTTCCCCATCATAGATTGGGAAACTGAGGCCACGGACTCTTTGAGGCTTGTGCAGTTTGGTAGGACCTGTGGGGTGGGGATGTCACTTGGGCTCCCCTCTGAGCCCTGGGGACCTTAGTTGGGGGGTTAGCCCTGGGGTCATGCTGTCTGTAACTTCGAGCCACCCCTCACTTTGTCTGTTCCAGGTCCTTAAGAGCCGTGGCTGTGTGAGTCCTGAGGACTTTGAGCAGGTGTTGGCTGAGGTAACAACCAAGTCCCATGCCCATGAATTCTTGTGCTCACTCCTCCAGGGAAAATGGAAGTCAGGAAGACTTGGGTTCAAATCTGCAAGTCTACCCCTGATACCCTCTGGCTGTGTTGCTATGGGCAAGTCACTTGACCTCTTACTGCCTCCAAGCAGCTCTCTTAAGACTGTAACATGCAGAGAAGGTGCCAGTCTACACTAGTAGAGGGCATTTCCTTACCCGGGAGCTCCTTATAGCAATGAAATCAGTCCAGTCCCTATGTCCTGTTGTTGTTCTTATTGTTTGTATTATGGTTATCCTCACTCGTAGCTTGAGAAGGAGGTCCAGCGGAGGAAGCAGCTGGTTCAGCAGGCCTCACAGAGGAAAGCCACCATTGCCCAGTGCTACCTCCCAGTCCAGCCCCAGGTGTATGGCTTGCAGGTGCGTCTTGGTGGGCGGGGCCCAGAAAGGGTAGTGGTGGTACTGTAGTAGTAAAGATAGTGGTGGGGTGTGAGCAGCCAGCCCTGGGTGAGGCATGATGGACTCTTAGAGTATCTCTAGCCTCGGCAGCATGGGCCAAATTTATCAGCACAGACAACCTCTCCCTCCTCCTTGAAGTCCAGTGGGGAAGCCAAACAGTTTTTGGGTTGCCCCCACCCTAGCCCCAAGGGGCTATCTCAATAAACTCCGATAACTCCCTGAACTCTTTGATAGGGACATTTCCTCCTGTGACACATATATCTTATCCTTGCCTGCCCTTCCTGTATGACTCTCAAACCTGCCAAGGGCACCCCTCCAATGGGGGCCTCTTTTCTGTTCTTTTAACATTAAGCGGGGATCCCAATAGAGCCACGGTCTTCAAATCAGTTATCTCTTGGTAACTTATCTTTTTTTCCCCTCGATCATATATGTCCCTTGATACTAACCTTTTATTTCCCTTGCGTAATTCATTTTCTGTAATGTGCCTGGACCAGCTCTGCCCATGAGCTTCTTCACTGCTCAGCCTGGCAGCAGCCTATCAGAGGAGCCAGTTGCCTTTCCAAGGGTCTGTGGTGGAGTCATTCACTTTGCGTAGAACATATGGGGTATATGAGTTTTCCCAGCCAATGCAAGCGCACAGGACAATTTTGTTATAACCAGATTATTATTAGTTTAAACATGTTACATGTTAGCTTAAAATATGTTAGTTTATATGTTAGTATATTAGTTTAAATAATGTATTGGTTTAAATATAATGTAATATAAATATATACATAAGACATAATATAAATACATATACATATGTCAACATAATAAACATATTGGCCCCATGAAATTCGTGTAACAGAGTTTCCTGGGTTTGCGTACAGCCCTCTTTTCTTTGCTCTTTGGTGTGCTCACATGTTCCTGTACGTCTCTGATTGTTGAGTTTATCGAGGTGGTGCCATAGTGCGTAGAACATTGGACCTGGAATCAGGAAGACCTGAGTTCAAATCCAGCCCCAGAGACTTGCTAGCTGTGGGGCCCTGGGCAAGCCACTTCACCTCTGTCCACCTCAGTTTCCTTATTTGTAAAATGGGGACAATAACAGCACCAACCTCCCAGGGTTACTTCAAGGCTCAAATGATATTATATTTGTCAAGCACTTTTCAAACCAAAAAGTGGCTCTATAAGTGCCAGCTATTATTATTAATTATCAGAATAAATTAAAACCCCCCAAACCCCATTAATTGGGTGAATTGGTCCCTTTTCGTAGAACTCTCCTGTTGGACTCTCTCCGGGTGTGTGGCTTTCCCAGAGGCTTCACCCAGACCCTGCTCATGAGTCCTGCTGCTTTCACCCACTGTTTGTTCCTGGCTCTGGCCTCCCTTGAGGGCCAGACAGAACAAAGTCTTCTCAGGGCCACCCATCTCTTCAAGAATGTAACCACCTAGCAAATTAATCCCTGGATCAGCATTTGTTAAACACCTACCTCCTCTGGTCCGTGGAGATAGGAATGCAGAACCTGTCCTCAGTGAGCTTCCATTCTATGGGAATGAGACAAATTAGGAGCCCCGTCTTTTTTTATATCCCTAGGGCAATGCCTGGCATACAGTAGGTGCTTAATAAATGTTTGCTGACTTACAGAAAACTCCATTTGTACAGTATACTCTTCTAGGGAGGGTTCCTGGTTCCAGAATGATGTCCAGGGCTTAAGCAGCTTCCAGGCTCAGGACTCTGGGAGGATGTCCTGGGATGATGTTGTTTCTTCCTCCTCTCCTCCCCCCCCCCAGGAGCAGTTTATGGTCTCAGAGTTTCGGTCTGTTGTTCAGTATTGTGAGACCCTGGATGCTAACCTTCCAGGCCTCCTCAAGCGCATCGAGACCTTGTCAGGTAAGGCCCAGGCGGCACAGTCCCCAAAGGACCACCATCCATCCCCAGTGACAGACTGACTGCCATGATAATAATCTCAGTTCACATGTCCATGGTTTTGCCAGTCCCTTCGTTTAGGCCAGTGACCCCATCTTGGCCTGGCCTTCTCCTCCCCTTCTCGCCCTCTGTGTGGAATGGAAGCTCCTGGAAGGCAGTGCTTAGCACAGTGCCTGGGCATGCAGTAAGTGCTTACTAAGTGCTTGTCAACTTGTAGACCAGCCCAGTGAGGTTGGTAGCACAAGGATTGTTGACTCATTTTACAGATGTGGCTCAGAGGGTTGTAGTGATGGGCTCAAGGGCTCCTAGGTTCTTGGGTCTGAGGGCATCCAGTGTTACTCTTCCTTTTTACTGGTCAGGAAACTGCGACCTAAAGGGGGTGAGTGACGGGGTAAGCTTTATATCGGTGTGAGCAAGATGTGCGTTAGGGTTGTAGGATTGAGAGACAGAAGAGAACCTTAGACCTCTTCTGGTCCCAGCTCCTTCTTTCAGCAATGAGAAAGCAGACCCAGGGAGGGGAGGCCACCTGCCTGAGGCTAACAAAGTACCAGTCAGGTGTGGTCATAGCCTGTGTCCTTTCCACTGACCCACGCTCCCTGACTTAAGGGCACAAATGCACTCTGTGTTTGTGTGTGTGTGTGTGTGTGTGTGTGTGTGTGTGTTTAACTGAATGTATCTCTGTGTGTGTATATGTGTTTGTGTCTGACTATATATATCTGTGTCTGTCTGTCTGTGTGTATATGTATCTTTGTGTCTGTGTGGTTGTGTATCTGTCTGTGCATGTCTGTGTCTGTGTCTGTCTGTCTGATTGTGTGTATATATCTGTGTGTCTGCCTGACTGTATGTTTGTGTGTGTCTGATTGTTGTCTTACTCTGTGTGTGTATCTCTGGGTATGTGTGTCTATCTGTATCTGTCTGACTCTGTGTGTGTGTGTGTGTCTAGCTGTGTGATTGTCTGGGTGTGGGTATATGTGTGTCTGGCTGTCTGACTGTGTACCTATGTGATTGTATTTGGCTTGCTGGGAGTCAAGCCTAGCCCAGTACCCATCACAAGCAGGATGCTGGGGACAAACCTTTGAATGTTGGTATGGCTGTCTTTTGCAAACCGCCCGTCCCCTCTGTAGATGAGAAGAGGATTTACCGGCTGCCGGTCTTCACCCTGGATTTCTGCCGGATGCTGCTGAAGGAGCTGGAACACTTTGAGAAGTCGGACATGCCCAAAGGGCGGCCCAACACCATGAATAACCACGGGGTAGGCGCAGCCCCCGGGCTCCCGGGGAATGCAGTGAGGCCCCCCCGCTCTGGCCCCCACTTGAACCAGCAAGGCCTCAGAGGGTGATTTCAGAGAGGTGAGAAAGACTCAGAGATCTAGAACCAGAGGGGACCCCTAAGGCCCCGCTCCCTCCTTTTAGAGAGGAGCAGGGAGTCCACAGGACCACAGAGCCAGAGCTGAAAAGGGACCTTTCTAGAGGAGGGGACTGAGGGGGAATGACTTGTCTAAGGTCACCCAGGGAATAAGTAAGGGAGGTGGCTTTTGAAGCCAAATCCTTGACCCATGGCTGGCTCCTTTCTCTGCCTAGATCCTGTTATACGAGCTGGGTCTGGACGAGCCCTTGGTGACTCCCCTCCGGGAGCAGTACTTACAGCCCCTCACTGCCCTCCTGTACCCTGACTGTGGAGGCGGCCAGCTGGACAGCCACCGCGCCTTTGTGGTGAAGTACACCATGGATGAGGACCGCGACCTCAGCTACCACTATGACAACGCCGAGGTCACCCTCAACATCTCGCTGAACAAGAACTTCTCGGAGGGCAGCCTTTACTTTGGAGACTTTCGTGAGGTACCCACCCCTCCCCCCATCTCCACTACTTGGAGTTTAATCAAGCAGCGAGCATTTATTAAGCACTTACTGTGTGCCAGGCACTTCTAGTCAGGGAGACAATAGAACTTAGAGGTTGTCTCATCCAGCCCCCTTGTTTTATAGACGAAGAAACTGAGGCCCAGTGGGGGGGGGCGGGAGAGAAATGACTTGCATGAAGTCACAGTGCTAGAACCCAGGTCTTCTGACTTTCAAGTAGAGAGGCAGATCAAAGGAGGGAGTGCCTTCAGGTATGGCGGTGGGGTGCAGGCCAGAGTGCCCTGTGTAAGGACCAGCAGGCAGGCCTGGGGGGCTGCACCAGAGCATTGCTCCTGGGGGCTGGGAAATGCAGCCCACCTCACGAGCCCCTCCGCTTTGCAGGTGTCGAGCAGTGAAGTGCAGTACCTGGAGGTGCCACACGTGCTGGGCCGAGGGGTGCTGCATCGGGGCGGGCAGTTGCACGGGGCCCTGTCCTTGGAGTCTGGAGAACGATGGAACCTCATTATCTGGATGAGGGCCTCTTCTGTCCGCAACCAGCTCTGTCCCATGTGTGGGAAGCCGCCTGAGCTGGTGGAGGATGAGGGCTATGGGGATGGCTTCACCCGAGAAGAAGGGGAGCCCAGTACTATGAACATTTGCACCTTGACCTGAGTCCCAGCCTCCTACCCTGTGGCCCACCAGTCTGAAAGCTCTGCCAGGCCCTTCTATGTGTCATTAGCCATGATAGCCCAGTCCCAAGCAGGAGCCCAGACTGGGGGCCCATCACGTAGAAGCGGTCCTTGAGATTCACTGAGGATTGGGAAGGTGCGTGGGAAAAACTGACCTTTCAAAGTGTTCCCCCGAGGGGGCCTGCCAACAGCAAGGTACTGATGGGATCCCAGCTGTGATGGATGGGACAATAAAACGTGACTAGCAGGGCTGCTCGAGGCATCTCAAGAAACCCTGTCTGACCCAAGCTAAGCTGCTGGGGGCCACAGAGTTATTCTGTAGTATAGAGTATGTAGTAAGGAAGCTGTACCATCCCTCTAAGCCACTGGGGGTGGGGGAATAGGTCTGGCAAAGGTCCAGGACCTGCAGGTGCCAGGTGGCCCTTAAGAGCCTTCCTTTGTAGTATCTTGCGTCAATTCACTGCCCCTCGCCTGTTTGTCTGTCTCCAGTTATGGCCCTCACTCTAGGTAGGCAGCTCAGGCAGCTTTCCATTCCACTCCACTTCTTTCCTGGAAGACTCGCACCGTGCTGAGATGTCTTTAGAGTTGCTGTGGGGGCCTCAGGAACTCATCTTGTTTCTCCAGTTCCTCTAACATCCAGTTCATCTTAGTGACTTTTCTGTTCTTTTTCCCCTTCATTTTATTGAGGAAACTAAATGAGGTAGATATTAGTTAACTTGTCCAGGGTCACAGCTGGAATGTGCAAAACTGAGGTCCTGCCAGGCAGTGGCCAAGCCAGAGCACGGGCACCTGCTGCCATACTGACATCCTGGTTAGGTAGCATGTCAGCACCTCCATCCAGGACATTTCAGTCCAATCCAATTCAACATTAATTAAACACCTGTTGTCAAATCACAGCCTAGAAGGCTGGAAAGGTAGGATGGCATCAGGTCTTCGATCCTTGACTGTTCATTGCCTCCCTAGTATATATGCTGAGGCAGAGGGAGATAGAGAAACAAACCAATTCCCTCCATCTTGGGGTTTCAGTTAAACCTAACATAGAATATTATTAAGTATCTGCTGTGTGCAGGGCACTGGGGATACAAAGACAATTGAAAACTCCCTGTTTTCAAGGAGCTTACATTCTGCTGTGGGTGTGATACACAGATGAGTAAATAGTGTGTTCAGGAAATAGTACTAACTGGGGAGCAAAAGCAAAGGCTTTTGTAGGAGAGATGGCTCCTGAGCTGGGTTTTGAAGGAAGCTGGGGATTATATGAGGGATCTCAGCCCAGTAAGAGACTAGAATTATGGTTGTGAGTAACCATAACACAAAACATAATGAGAGCATTGGGAGAGATGTAAGTCAGAAGCTACATAAAGTCCAAAAGGCTGAAGGCAGGCCTTGTAAAATCCTGGGATTTTAGCTAGATATGGACAGGAAGAAATCAGAGAAATGAGGAAGGTATTTGGGTGCAGGGAACTGTATGGACAAGGGCCCAGAGACATGAGATCTGGGGCCATTGAGAAGTACAACAGTTAAGCTAGAGGACGTGAAGAGGATAAGTGACATAAAGAGTGAAGGCCTAGAACCTGGAAAGGTAGGATGATGCTGGATGGTAGAGGTGCTAGACCAAGCCTACTGTTCAGTGCCTCTCTATTGTCCGTGAGGAGATGAGTGAAGGGGACAGAGCTTTGAATGAATGACATTATATTTGCAGGGGTGTGAAGGATGGATTAGAGATGGGAGAGGCAGCTATCAGTGAAGATGATAGGTGATGAGGACCATGAGCAGAGCTCTGGCTGTGGGTGGGAGAGGAAGAAGAAAGAGATGGCTTAGGCTGTAAGGGTGAGGAACCTTGGGCCTCAAGGCCACTTGTGGCCCTCTAGGGCCTCAAGTGTGGTCCTTTGAATCCAAACTTCACTGAACTTTATACCCTTAATAAAAGGACTTGTTCTGTCAAACTTGGACTCAGTCCAAAGGCTGCACCCAAGGACCTAGAAGGCCATGTGGCCTCGAGGCTGCAGGTTCCCCACCCCGGCATAGAGGTTTCAGGCTGCTAGATGTGGGCAGCCCTTCCTGCTTGAACCCCCCAAGACTGGTTCTGGTCTTGCCGGGGGAACGACTGCCTGCCTTGGCACCACGTTGCCGTGGCTAGCCCTGTGTAGGATGGCCAGGCTGGGAGGTTACTCCTCCTCCTCCCCCCCGCCACCCCAGCTCGACCCGGATCCTAAGAGCTTCCTGAGTACTCCCTGAGTAACCTGGACACTCCCCATGGCCAACCAGGTGGCATCCTAGGCGGTGGTGTGCAGAATGGGACACTGAGTCAAAGGGATCCTCTCCTCATAAACTCCTGTGGCTGCCCAGTGATGTTAGGGTCAGGTATCAAAACTGCAGTTTGTCCTTTCTAAAAAATAAGTTTCTATTGATGCCTTTTGTTTTCTACGTCATAATGTCCCCCGGTATCCCTCTCTTCCCCTCCCAGAGAGTAAATAATATTTTTTTAAGACAAAAAAGAGGAAGAGAAATGAGCACCACTGATCAATACATTGAAAAAGTCTAAAAAAAAATACAGTATGCAGTGTGTGTGGGCCTCCATCCTCCTGTGCCTCTTTTTTCTTCTTTCTCTTGAACTACGCTTATTCTTTATCACTTGGTGGGGGGGGTCCTTTCCACTTACATTGTTGTAATCATTGTGTAACAATAGTTTTCTTCACTCTGCATTCATCACATTCATCATTCATTTCATCCTTTTAAAATTTGTTTGTGTTAGGTTTTATGACAGTTATTAGTATGGTAGCAAGCGTATAGAATTTATGAATAAGCACATATGCATATATTGAGGATGAGCTTAAAAGTTTGTTCCTGATAGGGATGAGCCAGGATCAAATAAGTCTGGAGACCATCCGTTGTATTAGTGAGCAATCAGGGCATAGTGGATGGACAGCTGGCCTCAGAGACAACTCTCAACAACTATGGCGGCTGTTCACTGGCCTGCTTCATGCCATCCAGGATCTAGAGCTGGAAGAGGTCTTAGGATGAGACCTAACCAGAGCTGTGATGTCATTTCCAGGGTAGGACATTCCCTCTGCCAAGGCAGATAATCATTTTCTCTGAAATAATCCCAGAGGGCTGCCTGGAGGCAGAGGTAAGATGATTTGTTCAAGGTCACACAGCATGAGTCAGAGATGGGATATGATGAGCTTTCTGACTCCAAGACCAGCTCTTGACCGCCTACTCCCTTCTGTTTCTTAGGGAGATATAAACCAAAGTACTTGCAAAGTCAGAGGATGAAGATGGCTACCCATTCAGGGGAAGGAGGCAGAAGCCCAGGGATGAGGAGCTGTTGGTAGGTGGAAGAGTGTGGACAGAGGCATGATGGGAGGTGGAGTTTTAAGTTTGTCTGGAGCATAGTGTTTGAGGGCAGAGGAGCTAAAACTGGAAGAGTAGAACAGTACCAAACTCAAGGGCGTTGAATGCCGTTAATGCAGAGGTTATTAATCTCTAACGTGCCATGGACCCCTTTAGCCATCTCCTGAAACCTTTTAACTTTTGTTCAGAATCCTGTTAAATGCACAGCATAAAATACAGAGGATTACAAAGGAAGCCAACAAGATTGAAATGAAGATGTGTTCCCCCTGGAAGTGCATAGAACCCCGAAATCCATGAGCCCCTTGGCCGGGGCTGGACCCCGGGTGAAGACTCCCTGCCTCCTCTTCCTTGGTTAAACACCCTGCTCCCCTGTGCACGGCAGACTTGGGAGGGCAGGGACTGCCCTTAACCAGGGCAGGGGCTCTTTCATTCTGGTCCTGGTGTCCCCAGCCCCTTGCACGCAGGTGCTAGGAGCTTAATCCATGTTTGCTGAAGGAGTGAGCCCGGGCGTTCTCACCAGTGCCATTGAACAGAGGAGGAAACTGAGGCTCACGTGCTTAGGGTCACACAGCTTATGTCTGAGCAGGGATTTCTGCCCAGGTTTCTTGAGTCCAGTCCATGAGGGTAAGCATTTATGTGTATTTATAACAGCTGGCTTTCTAAGGTTTGCAAAGCACTTTACACATATTTGTTTGATCCTCCTTTCAGCCCTGGGAGGTCACTGCTATTATCAGCCCCATTTTATAGGTGTGGAAACTGAGGCATGACAAGGTTAAGTAGTTTACTCGGGCTCACACAGCTAGTAAGTGGAGTGGCATTCGAATTCAGGTCTTTTCAATCAGCGCTCTATCCACTGCACCACCTAGCGGCGGAACTCGCGAAGTCAGTTTTCCACCCCAGCTACAAGTCGGGGGTGGAGGGGGAGGGGGAGGGGGGAGGCTGGCCTTCGAGCGCCCCCTCGCGTCCGGGACTCAGCTCGACAGTGGCTCCCTCCCTCCCTCTCAGGAAGTTCTTCGGAGGACCGGAAGTAGGAAAGGGACTCTCCCCGTGGCCGCCCTCGGATCTCGAGCTGGCTCCGCGGGGCCCCCGGCGGCGGTTTTTCCCGATGGGTCGTTAGCAGCGCGGACAGCCGAGCGGAGCAGCCCCGCGGTGTGCCCTCCTCCAAAGGCGGTGAGAACTTCGGGGCGAGAGGGGCGCGGCCTGCCCGAGTAACCCGGGCCTTGCCGCGCCGGGGGAAGGTCTTCCTTGGGACACTGACCCTCCAGGTGCGGGGAGGAGGGAGCTTCCCGGAGTGCGGCCCGTTGCACTTGCGCAGGTTATTGCCCTAGGAGAGCCCTCCCTCTCTTCTGGAAAGGGGCGGAGCTCTTAAAGGAACCGCTACAAGTTTCCGTAATCCTGGTAGAGTCGGGACTGTCCCCTCCTCCCCGAGCCTTCACCGTCGGGAGGGGGCGTGGCCTGTACCACCCCATCTTGGCCTCTTGGTTCTGGGGTTCGAATCCTACCTCTGACACTTTCTGGCTGTGTAACCTGGGGCCAGTCACCTGAGCTGCCTGAGGCTCGATTTCTAAACCTATAAAATGGGGCTAATAGTAAGTACACCTCCTTCCCTGGGCTTCGGTGAGGCTCAGGTGAGAGATAATAAAGGTAAATGAGTAGGAGAGAGTTGATGGGAATTGGGAAAAATTCATTTCAATTCAAGCACTCACTGAACACCTACTGTGTGCCAGGCACTGTGTTTGTCAGTAGAGATGCAACCAATGAGCTTTTTTTTTTTGTGAGGCAGGGTTAAGTGACTTACCCAGGGTCGCACAGCTAGGAAGTGTAAAATGTCTGAGGCCAGATTTGAACTCAGGTCCTCCTGATTGCAGGGCGGGTGCTCTTTCCACTGCACCACCTAGCCAGGAGTGGCTTTTCGCCATGAGCATTTGTTAAGGACCTACTGTATAATAGGCAAGGCTAGGGCAATGGGGATACGAAGACAATCTGTAAGCATTCATTAAGTACCTACTGTATGCCTGGCTCCGTGATAGACAGTGGGGATACAAAGAAAATTTTCAAGTACTAAGCACCTGCTGTTTGCCTGGCTCTCAGATAGTGGGAATACAAAGCAGTCTACAAGTGTTTATTAAGTACCTACTACTGTACCTGGCACTGAGGATACTGACAGCAAAATTAAACTGGCTGCCCTGTGGAGCCAGTGTGATGCTTTTTCTGCCTGGCTTTGTGTCTCCCGTGCTTGGTACTACATCTAACATACAGTAAGCATTTATTGAATACTTGTTGACTGACAGCTGGGGAGAAGGTGAAAACACTATCTAAGTGTGCACAAGTCAGTGCTTCCTCTGCAGCCAGGAGTTGGAGACACTGAGAGCTGAAGTCACTTACCCAGGGTCTCACAGCCAGGCTGCATGCGGGGGTGGGGGGGAGGAGAGGGAGGCAGGGAGGAAAAGGAGGGACAAAGAGGAGAGGGGGAGCAGGGGGGAGGGGAGAAAAGGGGGAGGGAGGGAGGAGAGAGGAGGGGGAGGGGAGAAGGAGAAGAGAGTGGGGGAGGGAGGGGGAAAGAGGGAGAGTAGCAGGAGGGGAGTGGGGGAGGGTAGAAAAGGGGGAGGGAGGGAGGAGAGAGTGGGGGAAGGAGGGGCAAAAAGGATAGAGAGAGAAGAGGGGGAGGAGAGAAAGAAGAGAGGGAGGGAGGGGGAGCAGAGGGGAGGGGAGAAAAGGGGAGGGAGGGAGGAAAAGGAGGGAGAGAGGAGAAGGGAGGGGATGGAGGAGAGAGAGGAAGGGGAGAGGAGAGAGGGGGAGGGGGAAAGAGGAGAGAGAAGGGAAGGAGGGGGGACAGAGGAGAGAGGAGGGGGAGGGGAGAAGGGAGAGAGAGAAGGGGAGAACAGGGGGAGGGGAGAGAGTAGAGGAGGAAGGGGGAAAAAAGGAGGGAGAGAGGGAGGGCAGAGCAACTGAGACAAAAACACTGCTGGGCTCAGACAGGTAGAAGGGAGCAGGAGAGAGCAGTGTCTTGACAGCTGGAGGGGAGACGTTCTCAGATCCTTGGCAGCCGCAGAGAGGTCAGGCTCCATGAGGGATGAGAAGAGGCGGCTGGACTGAGGAGTCATGGGTCACCTGGAGAGACAGACCCCCAGAGTTCAGCACACGTTGAATTTAGCTAGTCCCCTTTAGCAGGGGACCTTAAGCTGGGCTTGGTGAACCTGTTTTTAAACTATTTTGATAGCTATTTTCCAATATAATTGGTTTCCTTTGTAATCCTGTGGATTTCATTTTGTGTGTTTAAAGAACAGCCTCTGAGAAGGGCTCCTGAGGAGTCTAGGGCGTGCCACGGGTTCAGAACCCCGGATCTCCCCAGGGGCTCTGCTGGAGTCCCTTTTCCCCTGCCTTCCTCCCTGTCTGCCTGGAAATATGCTCAGGACTGAAGCAGCCCTCCCCAGACCCTTCTGGCCTGCTTCACCCAACCTCACTCTCCAAGCCAAGGGGACTAATTGCCCCAGCCTCCCTCCCCACTCTCGCCCTCTTGCTTCTGGAAAAGACAGTGGCCATGTTTGGGTCTGTTCACCATCCCCATGACCCTCTCCCCAGGCCCCTGCTTCCATGTGTATGTCATCTGTCCCCATTGGTACTCAGTAGATGCTTAATAAATGCTTTTTATTCTTCCCTGCCACTCATTTCTCTCATCTCCCCTTCGCTGTTAAAATGCATTTGCTGGTTCTCCCGCACTGGGCGGCTGTTCTCAGTTTCCCACCAGCTTTGGAGCCCACTAGCCTCTTCCGAGCTCAGCAGGGCTGGGTCCTGCTGCTGTCTTTCTCAGTCTCCTTTGCGGGGTCTCCATCCAAGCCCTGAGTTCTGACCTGGGGTATCCAGTGAGACAGGAGACCTTCTTGCCCTCCTCTCCTCTCTTCGTCTCTCCCCAGAGGCTCTGGCAGCTGAGCATCCTCAGCCCTCCTCTGGGTCCTGAGCTCTGCCGCTCGTCGCCAGGACACCTGCGGCTTCTTGTTCAGACCCGTCCTTCCTCCATCCCTAAGCTTTCCCCTTCTCCAGACTCACCTCCTTCTCTGGAGCGCACCCCTACCCTCGGGTTCAGCCCCTTAGGCTCATGCTGGAGCCTCTGGCCCCCCAACATCCAATCAGCTGCAAAGGGTTGTGGACTCAGTGTCCTCCTCCGCCCCCCCAGAGTCAGGACCCGGCCGAGGCCGGAAGGGACCCCGGAGGCCACTTTCTCTAGCCCTCTTATTTTATGGAGGAGGAAACTGAAGTCCAGGGTGATGAACCTTCCCCAAGGTCACACAGCACGGCAAATGGCAAGAGGCAGGATTTGAACCTGGCGCCTCCAACTCCAGAACTAGGCCTCTTTCCTCTCCTTTGTAGTGCTGGACTTGTAATCAGGAAGGCTTGGGTTCCTCTTGTGCCCCTGACACTGTTAGTTGTGGGTCTGGGCCTCGGCCTCCTCCTCTGTACGGAGGAGGGATACGCTGTCTGTGCCTCGGGACCTGACGCAGTTCTTTTCTTTCCTAGCCGTAGCAGGCATGGCCCGTGGCCGGTCCCACAGGCACTCCAGGAGCCGCAGCCGCAGCGCCTCCCACGGGCCGCCAGAGCAGGGGGACAGGAGGAGGAGGAGGAGGAGGAGGAAGAGCAGTAAGGACAGGGGAAGGAGCCCCTCTGCCTCAGGCTCTCAGGGCCCAAGGAGCAGCCTGGCCTCCAATGGGGAAGGTGAGGACACAGAAGGACCCAGGCCAGAGCCAAGGTTCTTCTTGGGCTCGCCAGGGGATGCCCTGCCCTCAGGGGCTTACATTCTGCTGGAATTAGTGTAAGGAGAAGCAAGGAGGGGCAGAGCGCTAACCTCTGGAGGGGTGAGGAGCCAGGAAGGCTTCCTGGGGAAGGGGGCACCTGAGCGAGACTTGAAGGGAGCCAAAGATTCAGAGAGACAGGTGCGGGGGGCGGGGGGAGGCTCTGTAGACAGCCTGTGCACAGGCCTGAAGGTGGGAGGTGAAAGGAGTCCTCTTGGGCTGGAACGTAGGGGATCAGAGGGGGGCCTCTTGGCTGGGCTGAGGGCCCATGGGGACGCCCCAGGTCAGCCCGGGTCGGGGGCAGGGCTGGGGCCAGTCTGCAGCTGCTCTCCCTTCTTCTTAGGTGCCCAGCTAAGTGCCGGCTGTGGGCCTGGCCAAGGCAGGCGGCGGCCTTAGGCATGACTTCTTCCTGTCCCCTCCTATTACAGAGGGAGAGCCAAGGTCCAGAGAGGTTGTGGGAATGTAGACTTGGAGCTGGGAGGGCCTTGGGGGCCATTGAGGGCAGCTCCTTACTTTGGTAAGAAACGGAGCCCCAGAAAGGATCACAGGTACTGACTGGCAGAGGGGAGATATGAACTCAGGGCCTCGGACTTGGAATCTAGTAATCCTTCGCCCACGGCAGCCAGTGCCTCCTCTTCACAGCTCAGTGTCAGGAGATCAATCAGAGAAGCAGAATCACCATTCAACATAGAGGCCGTTGAACTGGCCTCTCTAGTGTTCGTGGGACCAAGGGTAACATTTTAACTTGGAAAAACTCCAGGGCGAGAGGGTGTGTTTGGGCAGATTCTGAGGCTCGGCCTGGCTGCCCAGCTCCTGGTTCTCTGTGACGCAGCTTAGCAGCCCGTGGCCCACTCTCCAGTGGTGGAATGAGGCATCCTTTACGCTCCAGAGAGATTTGGGTGGCAGGATGTGGGGGGTAGGGAGAGCTCACCCTGTTTGAGGGAAGGGAGGGAGGAGGAAGGAAGAAGGGGAAAGAGGGAGGGAGGGGAGGAAAGAAGGGAGAGAAAGAAGGAAGGAAAGGCGGGAAGGAAGGGAAGGAGGGGATGAAGAGAAGAAAAAAAGGGGAAAGAGGCAAGAATGGAGGGAGGGAGGGAAAGAAGGAAGAAAGGAGGGAGGGAAGGGTTGGTGGAAGGGAGGGAAGGAAGAGGAAGGAAGAAGGGACAGAAGGGAAGCAGGGAGAAAGACAAGAGGAAGACCTGTCCGCTTGAGAAAGGCTGCTGACTTGTGCTGTCTTCAGGGCACCCAGGCGGGTCTAGCTTCTTCTGCAGGGGAAAGGTGTACCCCACTCAGGCTGGTTCTTCTCAGGCTGGGCCTCCCTGAGGCTCTGAGGAGGCTCCTTCACTGGCCCCTCTCCTCATGTGCAGAGAGAAGCAGGGACAAAGCCCGGAAGAGAAGGCGGCCCAGGTCCTCCTCTTCTTCCTCCTCCACCTCTTCTTCCTCCTCTTCCTCTTCCTCGGGGGCCTCCAGTGGGGGCAGGAAAAAGCGAGGGAAGCGTAAGGACAAGAAGAGCTCAAAGAAGAAGGCAAAGAAGAAGCTGAAGAAGAAGAAGAAGAAGGAAAAGAAGAAGAAGGAGAAGGCGGCCAAGGCCAAGGTGGTAGAGGAGATGCCGGGCCCCTCGCTGGACCAGTGGCGGAAAGAGCCCCTGGTGGAGAGTGGCCCAGGTAAGGGCCAGTGGGGGTGGGCGAGATGTGCCCCCCAGCCCCCTCCCCACCTGTCCAGGCCAGACCAGGGTCTTGGCTTCTCCTGGGGAGCATGGAGGGAGTGCTGGCCGGGCCCCAAGCTTGCACAGGCCACGCCCATCAGGCCCCATAGAGCCAGGAAGAAGAGCAGCCAACATTTAGGTGGCTCTTCTGTGTTTGCAAAGTGCTTTACATGGGTGATCTCATTTGACACTGGATCCAGGAAGCCTCTGCCTCTGATCTGTCCTGGCTCTTACTTGGCCCTGGGCAAGTCACTTAAACCTGTCAGCTAGATAGTGCAGTGGATAGAGCCCCGGCCCTGGATTCAGGAGGACCTGAGTTCAAATCCAGCCTCAGACACATAACACTCACTAGCTGTGTGACCCTGGGCAAGTCACTTAACCCCTCTGCCTAGCCCCTTCCCCCCCAAAAAAAAAAAAACCTCCAGGGACCCAGGCTTGGGGCAGAGAAGGTGACCGCCTACTTTGTTAGAGGGAGTTTCCTTATCTAGGAATACCCCCAGACCATTGACATCACAGGTCCTTATCCCTATCAGCACCATGAACCAAGACAACACAACGCCTGAAACTGATGGTATATGCAGTCTTTCACACCCCTAGCCCCCCACTGCTTTTTTTCTTTTCAAATTTATTATTTATTTTTAACATTAAAAAAAAATTTTTTTGAATTCCAAATTCTCTCCCTCTCTCCAGCCCCTGTCCCACCCAGTGAGAAGACAGGCAATGCGATATCAGTTACACATGTGAAATCATGCAAAACCTATTTCCCTGTTAGCCATGTCGCAAAAGAAAAAAAGAAAGTGAAAACATCCTACTTCAGTCTGCACTAAGAGTTCATCAGTTCTCTGGAGGTTGAGGCGTTTTCATCATAAGTCCGCTGGAATTGTCTTGGATCTCTGGCGGTCAGATTAGCTAAATCTTTCACAGTTGATCCTCGTCACGGTATTGCTGTTACTGTGTATGATGATCTGGTTCTGCACACTTAGGCTTGCATCAGTTCGTACAAGTCTTTCCAGGTTATTCTGAAGTCAGCCCATTCATCATTTCTCACAGCACGATAGCATTCCGTTACTTTGACATACCACAGCTTACTCAGCCATTCCCCAGTCAATGGGCATCCCCTCAATTTCCAGTTCTTGGCCACCACAAAAAGAGCTGCTCGGAATCTTTTTGTACACAGAGGTCCTTTTCCTTTTCCTTTGATCAGTCCCCCACTTCTGCAAAGGCTACATTTTCTCCTGGGTCCACACTTGGTGGTTATGATCACCCCCCATTTCCTTTCTGGCTGATTTTGTATTTTCCACCTCCACTGTTGTTATTGTGGATATTGTTTACTGGGCAAAGGCCTCCTGTAACTTAAAATTTTCAAAATTTTGTTTTTACGTCATCTTCATTTCCATATAAATCCCACCCCCTTCCTGGCACCCGAGTCATCCCCAAGGGACGAAGAAAAGAAAGGGAAAAGTCCTGCCCAGAACCTGAATCTAACAGGACGGTTAATTCTTCTGCACCAAAAGCCCCTTTGCTGTTGACTTTGAAAGATGAGGAACCTCAGGATTTCAGAGTTGGGGTGACCACCCAGAGTCACCAGGCAGTCTCGACTCCTCATTCCCTGATGCCAAACCAGACAGTGTAACCTGGCCTTGGCCTCAGAGTTCGATTCTCCAGGCTCTGAGGTGTGAGATAATGTTTGGAAAACACTTAGCATAGTGTCTGGCCCACAGTCAGTCCTTAATAAATGCGTGTTCCCGTTCCCCTCCCCCTTCCCCTTGGTCCTGTGGGTGACTAGACCTTCCGGGCCAGAGTCACTCACTCCGTCAGGCACATGCCCTCCCTTGCCTCCCAGGTGGGGTCCTCAGGTGTCTGGCCCACTGACTCGTAATCCAGGCCTCTGCCCTCCTTGGGGAGGCCTCACCTGGCTGGCACTGACTCCTGTTCTTTTTGGGGCCTGGGGCATAGTACTGACAGATGAGCAGAAGTCCCGCATCCAGGCCATGAAGCCAATGACCAAAGAGGAGTGGGATGCCCGGCAGAGCGTCATCCGCAAGGTGGTGGACCCTGAGACGGGTCGTACGAGGTAGGAGCATTTCAGGGGCTGGGGAGAAACCCCCAGGAGCTGGGGCTCTGGGCCCAGCTCAAGGGCCATGCTGTGGTGGGAAGGAGGGGAGAGAAAGGAGCTGGGCTTTTCCACCCATTCCCCACCTCTCCTCCAGAATCTAAAAACCCCGGTGAGTCTCTGTGAGTCTCTGTGAGTGAGTCTCGGCTTATTCCGGACAGTAGCAAGGGCAGTAGAGATCTGCTATTGCCGTTGATTCCAGCTCCTACTTGAAATAACCTTTGGCTTGTCCATCCATGCTGTGGCTACAGCTGGGAAGGTAGACAGTGAGGGGGTAGCCCAAGCCCTGCTCTCCTTCTAGCCTCAGATTCCCCAGGCAGGTCCTGGCTTGACGGGAGCCCCTTCCTGGCCTTGGGCAGCTGCTGCCCGAGTCTGTACAAGGGGTGGCCTTGGAAGGCACAGACCGGCGTCCAGACCTGCTTCTGGACTTGGAGGCGGACCGAGGACCTGGGTTCAAGGTCCCTTTGCCTCTGCTGTAAACTCCTAGGGTGGTCTTGGGTGATTCGCCTGACCTCTCAGGTCAGATGATGTGGTCTATTTCCATGTTGGTGAAATAAGGTGTGGTTGGGCCTAGGTGGTCCTGGAAGGTCCCTTTTGGTTCTCATCCCGCTCTTCTCCCCTGCTAGATGTCAGGGTCTGGTCCTGCCTCACTGTATGGATAAGAGGAGCTTGAATACACTACTTGCCCAGGGTCACACGGCTGGTAAATGTGGGTTTGGAACTCAGGACTTCCTTATTCCGAACCTAATGCTCAGTCTGACCATCCCGTGACAACAGGCTCCTTCTCCCAGGGCCTTGTCCTTCTCTTGCCCAGTCCCATGGGAAGATGAGTGCATGCGATGGTGAGGTAGGGGAGGGCGTGGTGGATGGGACAAACCATGGGGGGCCTCCTGACATGAGGCCGGAACAGCTCTGCCCATGAGGTCATGTTCACAGATAACGTCCCACTCCTAGCCTGGCACAGATCCAGGCCTGCTGCCTGCCTTTTCAGCAGGAAAGAAGGAAGGCCACATGTGCCCTGGGAGACTCCTTCCCCACTGCTGTGATGTAGTGGAAAGGTACAAGGAGGCTCCGTGTCAGGAAAACTTTCCTCCCAGTATGGAGTGGGCTGGCCTGGCTGGTGTTCCCTCTCACAGGAGGAGTCTTCATGAAGAAGCTGAACAGCCGCTTGGTGGGGGCGATTCCTTTTGTGCATGATTAGACTAGATGCAGGCTGTGGGCTAGTGATCCTTTCCTGAGGTCCTGGTCCCCCTGGGGGAGAGGCCTCCTGCCTGTCCTTCCATTCTCCCCTGTCCCAAGTGCCCCGAACCCAGGCCCCAGGGTCACCCACCCTCTCGACCTCTTCTTCTGTTCTAGACTCATTAAGGGGGACGGTGAAGTTCTGGAAGAAATTGTCACCAAAGAGAGACACAAGGCGATTAACAAGGTAGTAGCCCCCTCTCCCCCCGCTGGTGCCCGGGGCCCCGCCCCCTGCCCACTTAGAGGCTTCCCTCTCCGACGTGCCTGTCTCTTTCCTGCAGCAAGCCACAAGAGGTGATGGGCTGACCTTCCAGATGCGAGCAGGTCTGTTGCAGTAAGACCCCCAGCCTCCTTCCTTCGACCTCCTGGTCCCCCATGCCTGCCCCCAGACTGCTGTCTCCATGGACTTGGGGGGCTCCCTGGGAGGGTAGCACTGGCTCCAGCTTGAAGATGCCGGGCATTACCACTGTCCTATCCACTGCCTGAGGACAGCTGCCTAGGCCGATGTGAGCAGGGGGTTTATGAGCTCAGGGCCTGGCCCAAGCAAGAAATGCATGTTGATGCCTGCCAAGAGTCCAGGAGAGCTGGACGGTGCCTGCATTTTCACTGTCCTCCCTCCTGTAGGGAGTACCCCGGGGGCGGGGAGCTAGAGTCATCTGAGCAGGCCTGGCTGTACTTGCCCCCAGACTTAGGCCCAGCTAAGAAGCAGCCACCAAGAAAGGCAGTGAGGCCTTGGAGGCTGGACTCCTAGAGTAGCTCATTGGAGCTCTCTCAAAGGGGCGGGGGAAGGGGAGAGGCCCCCCCTTGGCTGCATGAATCCAACTCTGGTCCCTTCTGTTTCCACCTACGGGGTTCTGCTAACAATAAAGCCCAATCCAGCCTCAGGCTTGTGTCTGGTCTCTGCTTGGAGAGTTGGGTATAATTCTAATGCTGAAGATATTTATCACTGGATCCCAGACAGATACAAGATATTTGGGGAAGAGCCCGTTGGGTGAGGGGTCTGTGTATTTGGGCTGCGATGCCGCAGGATTCACAGGCGGAGACGTTGTGGGGCAGAGCCAGTAGTGGTATGAGCACTCAGGTTCTGGGGGTGCCTGTGCTTTTGTTCACCCCCCTTTCCTCTGCCAGCAAGCACCTCCACAGGTCTGTCTACACTTTGTCCTCCTTGCTCAGGAGTGAAGGTTAGCCCAGGAATGAGGGCCGTAGGGAGGGGACAGCCTACTGGCCGACCTCCTGACTCCTGATTCTTGGGTTGCTGTCCAATGTACCAGTAAAGAGACTCACCCACAGGTCTGTCTACACTTTGTCCTCCTTGCTCAGGAGTGAAGGTTAGCCCAGGAATGAGGGCCGTAGGGAGGGGACAGCCTACTGGCCGACCTCCTGACTCCTGATTCTTGGGTTGCTGTCCAATGTACCAGTAAAGAGACTCAGGAAAGAAGCCTTCCCTTTATTCATGTAACATACAGTGATACTGTGTACAGAGTATACACACCCAGGCATCGAACAACACGCTGACAGACAGCAAGGAGAAATAAGTGGATGGTCTCTCACAAACAAGCCAAGAGATGCCGACACACAGACAGAACCGAAGAGATGAAACTAGGACGAAACTAGGACGTGGCAGACCGGCTTCTGAGCCGGGGCGCCCCCAGGGGGGTGGGCCTTTCGGACCAAGCCTGGAAGGAGTTTTCTTTTCTAGCTGCGTCCCTAAGAAACGCTTCTTTATAAATAAAATGGGATGGAGATGATTGGATGTAGAATCGACACTTGGGAATACTAGTAGGTCCTGGGTGAGGTTTCCTCCAAGGAGGAAGAAGAGAAGGGGAGTAAGGCTTCTAGATATAGTTGGGCAGCAGAGATGGAGTCACTTGATGATTGGTGTGGGAAGGGGCTACTTCCCTGCTTGGGGGAGATGCGGTACTTAGTAAAGGTTTTTGGTTATGACGTTGTCTTCTGATGCTGTAAACATTGGTGGGTTTTTTTTGGTATTTAAAAAATAAATGTTTCCAAAAAAAAAAGCTTTATCAACAGCAGATATACCTCATGTGGAAAGGAAGAAAGGGAGGGCTCCCTAATTCTGGTGAGAAAACATTTATAAATGTTTGCTCATCTCTCCTTCCACGGCTGAGGGGCCTGGTTCCAGCCTGTGCGTTCACACTGGACAAACAGGGATTGAGACTGATGAGGCCGGACAGATGGAGGCTAGCGCTATTGCTCTTGTCCTTGGCATAGTCGGGCAGGGGTGGGGGGAGCCTTCAAGGCCGAGTTAGCGGCAGAGCTGACGGCAGAAGGTACAGCCTCGGCAGCAGTGGCTATGGCCGAGTCAGGAGGAGAGGGGCCAGTCGAGGGCTGGCCCGGGCTCATGGCAGTCTCCCCCGGCCACCGTTATTGCAATCAGGGTCTGAGACTCGGCTCAAGAAGGCTTTCTCCCCCACCCCGGGACTATTGAAAATGGTCTGAGGGAGAAGCAGAGCAGGGGACATATGTGTGTGGTCCCCCCCCCCCTTCAAGGCTGTGATTGTCGGGCTGAGCTTATTTTTCCCACTGAAGGGGGGGAGGTGGCGGTGGCAAGGGGGGTGAGTCAGATAGTGCATTCTTCAGAGACAGGTAACATTGGACTTGGTCCATAAAACAATTGCTTTGTACATAATGCCTGAAACAACAAAAGAAAGCTACATCTTAAATATTAATAAGCCCTGAAGGTTCTCTTCCCTCCAGACATTTTCCCTACACAAAATAAATAACTTTCCCTCTGTATATACCCACTTTTCTGAACATTTACAGGATACTTTTTTTTCCTCTTTACAATATCTACACAAGAGATAATGTCAACATCTTTTCATACCCCTCCCACCCCCAAACACAATGTAGAGAACGGCCCAGGCAGCCCCACTCGGTGGCTGGGCACTGGACAAAGGCCACATCCACGCATTCAGTGAATTCTTTCCCAAGAACCCGCTTCTCAGCTCGGTCAGCTCCTCCGGCCAGAGGTGGCCTTCTCTGTCGGCCACTGAAATAAACAGCGAAGTTTGAGAAGAATCCACGTGGGTGCCAGCGGCCTGGTGGAGATGAGATCAAGGCAACACGTCGAGAAAGTTGATTAGTTAGAAAGGGGAAGTCCGATTTCATCAGTAGAAAGTGGCACAGGTACTGCAGGGGTGGTCGGTCATTAGCCGGGGGGGGGAGGGGGGAGATACGAAGGACCTGACAGTCCGAATTTTCACTTCAAAACAGTTTGGATTTTAAAAATCTGTATGTGCCCCTCCCACCTGCCCCTAAAGCCCCATTGAGAGAGTAGAAATTCAGCGAGAGTTTGGAAGTAGGAGTGAGGAAATCCTCTGGAGCGAGGCGCCAATCGCCAGGAGACAGTCGGGGCGTCCCTAGGCCTGGGAGACGGTGGCAGGGCCCAGAGCCCCCAAAGCGGGCTGCTTTCACAGTGCAGGGTTTTCACAAAGCAGAGAGGGCTGCCCTGGGTGTTGAAAGAGTTAAGAAAGCTAAAAGCAGCCAAGTTTTTTTCTTTACAAAAGAAAAAAAGACCAAATAACCCAACCCTTTAAGAAATCAAATCACTGACGTAGAAAGGAATAGAAATATAATGCACTGCAGTGGGCGGCAGCAGCAGCATCAGGAGCAGTGTGGAAACCAGGGGCTTGGCCAATAATCTGGTTTCAGAGAGAGGAAAACCTGTGTCCAGCTGCCCCCTTCCCCCTCCTCCCCCCCTCGCACCCCCATCCCTTAGCTCTCCGCTCTCCAGCCTGGAGGCGGGTGTTGGGGGCCTCAGGTGCCCAGACCCTGGCTTGCTGCTCTGGGCAGGTGCCCAAGCAGGAGATGCCAGGCTCATGGCTGGTCTGGACCCAAGGGGCTCCCCCGCCCTCCTCACTGCTCACCCCCCACTGGTCAGAGAGAGAAATGAGAGATGCAAAGAGCTAGGCAAGACCAGGCGGGCAGAGGAGAGGGCAGGGAGCTGGGGTGGGGATGGCTGCTTGGCTGGCCTGGAGCCTTGGTGATAGGAAGAGCTGCAGAAATAAAGATAGGGCCTTTTCCTTAAGCTTTGTACAACATCCTTGCTATACATTTGGGTCTCCTTACTGTCCAAAAAAGCAAAACAAAACAGAAATCCAAAGGAACAAACCTGCACAGAACTCTATCCTGGATCAGCAAAATATTTAATGGTCATGCACTACCGACGGTGACGTGTGGCCACATGAGATGGTAACAGGTCTCCATCCTAAAGATCATCAGTGCAAAAAACGATGAGGTTTTACAGTTGAGTGAGGAGTTAAAAGAAGCAGGTCAAACTCCCGGGAAGCTGCTACTGTGTCTGGAGAGAACTCGGGGTGAAAGGGGCTGGGGGAAATGGATGCAGGGGTGGGGGAAGGGGAAGGACGGGGGGGGGGGGGGGACGCCTCCAACCCTGTACTTGGATTACAGAGAACGCACATAGCTGGATCATCTCCAGTGCTCGGGGGTGAATGAGCTGCAGGGGTTTTGGTGAGACTATACATGGCGGTGGGGGCGGGGCAGAGAGCAGCAGGTGGGGATGGTCTGTTCTCAGGGGCTGAGATGGGGAGCCCCGTGCGCCCCCAGCAATGGGGGAGTGGGAGGGTGTGATTTCCCTGCATTTGTTGGCAGATGCAGGATGCTGCCAGCTGCTGAGAGAACCGAAGACCCCGAGCTCCAAAATGTCGGGAACAGAGCCCCGCTGAGAAGTCCCTTTGGGGGACGGTGTCCCCGCCTCCTGCCTTGCTCTGCCCCCGCCTTCATGGCAGAGGATTGGGGGATCCCTTCTCCCTGCAGGTCAGGATCGAGCCCTGCTTCCTGGCCAAGGTGTGGTTAGAGGAGGCTGGCCGAGCCTCTCAGTCGGGGGCTGTCAGGAAAGCCCCCGGGTCAGAAGGGGACCAGAGTCACTGCTTGGCGTCTCCCATCCCTGGGAACAGAGACAGGCCATGTCCTGTGCTTGTCTGTGGCAGAAGCAGCAAAATGCCCGAGGCCTGAGCCAAGACTGCCCCCCCCCCCCGGGCCTGGGATGGGGTCCAAGGCCTCCCAGCTTCAGCTCTGGCCTCTCAGTCCACTTGCAGGCTGGCACCCGCCTGCCTGCCCAGGATCTGCAGCCTGCGTGGCTCTGTCCCCCCTTGCCTCCTAGCACCATGGTGACACCTCCCGCTCTGGGGCCGCTCCAGGGCCGGCTCCTGAGGGGGGGGCGCGGGGAGGCGGGCACTTCTACTTGGGCCCTGGGGGGGCCCCCGGCTCTGGCCGGCGGCCCCAGCACCCCGTGGCCACGCTCATGCTCCGCTGACCCCGCTCCCGCTCGCGCTCCCGCTCGCTGTCCGACTGGCTTTGCGTCCGCTCGTGCTTGTGGCTGGGCCCTGCGGGTTGGGAGGAGATGGTGCGCAAGAGGTGGTTCCGTTTGCGCAGGAAGTCACCTTGGCCAGGGAGGCCGAAGCTGCCTTTGCGCAGGGCCATCCTGGTGCTGTTCTTGGCTGGCCTGGCTCGGTGGTTGTATTTGAGCTGAGCGAGGTGGGCGGCATAGCCTTCGGTGATGAACTGGGGTGGGGGAGGGGAACAGAGGACAGGTAAGAGACTCCCACCCTGGCCGGCCTGGCTGGTCACAGTCCGATTCAGAATTGGGACGACCCTGGCAGGCCATCGAGTCTGACCTTCAGTTTGTCTCCCCAAACCCTCCTATTTAATAGAGAAGGAAGCTCAGGCCCAGGAAGGTTGAATGACTTGCCCTACATCACAGGCCGGAGTTGCCAGGACAGGGGTGGGGAACCCGTGGGCCTCAAGGACCCGTGTGGCCCTCTAGGTCCTCAAGTGTGGCCCTTTGGCTTGAATCTAAACTTCACAGAACAAATCCTTGAGGTTCCCTGGTCCAGGTTCATAGATTTGGAGCTCCCTACCGGGAGCCCTCTGAGGGAATGCTGGGTAATTCTGAGCCTGGCCTGAGTACCAAGGGGCTGGCAAAGGGCAGCCTCAGAGTCACGGCTGGCATGGACGGCCATGTTGCCATCTTGACACAGGTGGGAGCCTGGGGACCAGAGTGGATTGGGGGGAGAGGGAGGAGGCCCTCTGGGAGAGTCTGGACCAAGCAGGAGGATGGCTCCCATACCTGGCACTGATGCTGCAGTTTCTTGGTGGGACGGCCAACGATGTAGATCTGCATGGGGGACAGGCTGATGGAGCTGTAGACGGAGATGTCCTTGGTGGAGCCATAGGCAGCATGCACCCGCATATGCAGCTGGAGAGAGAGGGACAGAGCATGCTCAGAGTGGCTGGCCAGATGGAACTCCTGGGCGCTCCCAGAATGCCAGGCAGAGGGGCTCAGGACCCTGTGTCTGAAGAGACCCTAGTGGCCTGGGGCTCAGGAGTAGAGCCTCTTTCTTGTTTGAAATAGGCCAGGAAACCCAGGTAGAGTCATTTCACTTCTCTGGGCCTCAGTTTCCACATCTGTAAAATGGGGGGAGGGGTTGGACTAGCTGGTCCCTGATGTCATTTCCTGATCTGAGTCCATGGTGATGATGACAGTAACAATGATAACAGCACTTACATAGAGCTTACCATGTGCTGAGACACTTGACAAAAACTCATTTGATCCTCACAACTGCCCTAGGATGTAGGTGTTATTATCATTTCCATTTTATACTTGAGGAAACTAAGGCAGATAGAGGTTAAGTGACTTGTCCAAGGTCACAGAGCTAGGAAGTATCTGAGGCTGGATTTGAACTCAGGTCTTCCAGGCTCCAGGCCTAGCGCTCTGTCCACTGTGCCACTTAGCTGCCCAAGGCCATTGCTGGTCCCAAGGCCCCTAGAAAGACTGGCTTGGTTGGGGAAACCCAGACCAGATCAGATTCAAAAGCTGATCATTATTACTCGTGTGACTACGGGCAGTTTCTTCGTCCTCTCATCGATCTCGAGCTCCCTACCAGAGGAAACCTCTGAGGGAACACTGGGTAATTCTGAGCCTGGCCTAAGCACGGAGGAGCTGGCAAAGAGCAGCCTCAGAGTCATGGCTGGCATGGATGGCCATGCTGCCATCTTGATACAGGTGGGAGCCTGGGGCATCTCACACTGGACATGGCTGCGCCTAGGACCAGCATGGATTGGGGGGGAGGGAGGAGGTCCCCTCTGAACCTAGGACCTCCAATTTACCCTCTATAGACCTGCCCAGTTGTCTACATGTCTCCCCCATTAGAATGTGAACTCCCTGAGGGCAGGGAGGGTGGGGTTTTCCTCCCCCTTTCTTTGTATCCCTTAGCACAGTGCCTGGCATACAGCAGGCACTTAATAAATGCTTGTTGACTTACTTATTACTCCAGCTCCAGGGGTGGGAAGAGACAGGGGATAAGGAAAAGAGAAAGTGCCTGATGTCTCCCCGCCTCCCCTGTCCCTAATCCATCCGTGTACGTGTGTGCCCGGGACGTCGAGCTGGAAGGGGCCTCGTGGCTGAGCGGCCGGCCTTTCTGACTGCCTGGATCCGCAGGGAGACTTCCCCAATAGAAGGCCCAAACTTGCCTCTGTACAAGTTCCACTCACAGCTCACGGCTCTGGCCTCAGGAGCCAAACAGAATAAGGGGAATCTGGCATCCACGTGAGGGCTAGAAGGGACCTCGGGGCCCTGAGAGAGGATCCTGCGCTTGCCTGAGTTCTGAGATCTGAGTTCAAATTTAGCCTCAGACTCTCATTGGCTGTGTGGAACCGGGCCAAGTCACCTAACCTCTGCCTAGCTCAGTTTCCTCATCAGCAAAATGGGAATAATGAGCACCTACCTCTCAGGGTTGTGGGAGGATCAGATGAGATAATTGTAAAGTGCCTGGCACACAGCAGGTGCTAAATAAATGCTTATCCTCTTCCCCCCTTCCTTCTATGAATGCTACTTATTATTAGTGCTGTTGTTGCTGCACAGGGCCATACAGGTACTAAGCATCAGAAGCAGGACTTGAATTTGGGGTCTTGGCCCTAAATCCTACACTCTCTCTCCTATGCTGTGCTGCCCCTCCCTCCTTCCCTGTCTTTCCCTTTTTCACTCTCTCTCTCCCTCTCTCTCCTCTTCCTTCTTTCTCTTTCTCTTTCCCTCCCTCTCTGCTCCTCCCTCTTTCCCTCTCTCTCTCCTTCTTTCCTCTCTTCTTCTCTTCCCACCTCTCTCCCTCCACCTTCTCTCTCTCTCTCTCTCTCTCTCTCTCTCCTCTCCCTCTCTGCCCCTCCCTCTCTTTCTCTTTCTCCCCACCTCTCTCTCCCTCCTTCCTCTCTCTCCCCTCCTCCTCCTTCTTTCTCTCTCCCCTCCCCGCCTCCTCTCTCCCTCTTTTTCTGTCTTTCTCCCCATCTCTCTCTCCCCTCCCCCTCCTCTCTCCATCTCCGCTCTCCCTCTCTGCTCCTCCCTCTCTTTCTCCCTTTTTCTGTCTTTCTCCCCACCTCTATCTCTCTCTCCTCCCTCCTCCTCTCTCCTCCATCCCCCCTCCCCTCTTCCTCTGCCTCTCTCTCCTCTCCCTTCTTTGTCTTTCCCTCCCTCTCTGCTCCTCCCTCTTTCCCCCTCTTTCCTTCTTTCCTCTCTTCTTCTCTTCCCACCTCTCTCCTTCCACCTTCTGTCTCACTCTCTCCTCTCCCTCTCTGCCCCTCCCTCTCTTTCTCTTTCTCCCCACCTCTCTCTCTCCTCCTTCCTCTCTTTCCCCTCCTCCTCCTTCTTTCTCTCTCCCCTCCCCCCCCTCTCCCTCTTTTTCTGTCTTTCTCCCCCCCATCTCTCTCCCCTCCCTCCTCCTCTCTCCTCCATCCCCCTTCCCCTCCTCCTCTGCCTCTCTCTCCCCTTCCCCAATTCCCTCTCTTTTCTCTCCATAAGTATGTATGAATGCAGTATTTGGAAACAGTTCTCATTTCCCCCATGAGTCTTCTGTTCTCCAGACTAAACAACCCCAGTGTCTCCAGTGATCCTCATGCCTGAACCCAGGGGTCCTTTGCCGTCCGGGGCGGGGGGGTGGCGTGCCTCTGGACACTTGGCTCACTGCCGCCCTTCCCAAAGGCACAGTGCCGCTGGTCGCTGCTGGGAGCTCTTACCTCAGTGATGAGGAACTTCAGGAAGTTGGCCTTATGCCGCAGAGGGTCGTGTACGAGGCCGTCACAGAAGGAGACGATCCCATGAGGGAAGTTGTGCTGTGCCAGCCAGGCTACTACCCGCTGCTTCTGCATGTCGGGCCTTCCTGTCACGTAGATGATGAGGTAGCCGAGGTCCTGCCAGTGTCTGTGGGTGAGGTGGGAGGAGGAAGCAGAAGAGGCCCAGAGGATTCCACTCCTTGGGGCCACTGGTCACTTCTAGGGGCTCACCTCCCCACACCCTGGAATCACTCCCCATGCGCTCTCCCCATGTTTGGAGAGGTAATGGGGGTGTAGTGCTTGCCTATCAAGTCAAGAAGACCTGGGTTCAAATCCTGTCTCTGCCCTTACTAGTTAGTAGACCCTGGGCAAGTCACTTTGAGCCTTGGTTTCCTCACCTGTAAAACAGGGGATTACAAAACCCTAGAGTGCCTACTTTGTTGGGGTTGTTGGAAGAATCAACCAAGATTATGTAGAGGTCTCTGAAAACATTAAAGTGTTTTACTATAATTAACTTTACCATTCAGCTGGTACTTAAAGTGCTTTATATTGCTATATAAATAATATATAAATAAATTGCTATATAAATGTCAGTTATTATTATTGCCTTGTGACATCTAAATCAGAGTTGTTTGTGCATTGCCTTGGCTATGTGTGTTTCTGATATGTGTGCCTTACCTATCCATTGTGCTTTAAGCAATGAACTTTGTGATAATTCTCCTGAGAAAGAAAAGATGTCAAGACCTTGCTGGTTTAAGGCTTTGAGTTGCTTTAGTTATATGTAATCTCTGCTACTGTGATTCACTCCCGCTGTACTTTAAATTCATGTCCACTCTTCCCTGCCCCATGGGCTCTGGGTACATCTGTAGGACAATGTGCCACAAGTTACTGGATAATGCCATTTGAGTAAATACCTTTTTAAAAAAAACTAATTGAATCTCCTGGCTGATTGTTAAGGAGAAGCACAATGGTGGGGGCTCGTGAGCTCTAGTGTTATGAAAGCCACCCACAGGGTAGCTTTTGTTCCTTTTATTAAATGGATTTGTTCTGAAAACTTGGACTCAGTCAAAAGGCCATACCCAAGGACCTAGAGGGCCAGATGTGGCCTCGAGGCTGCAGGTTCCCCACCTCTGCTAGACCTAGGATTTAAATGGTATAAGGAACTGCAGGGTGAGGAAATTCTCTCCATCCATGTAAGTGGGCAACCTTTGGGTAACCTGTAGTCCTAGAGAGCTGCTTAAAACATTGACAGGTTAAGTGACTTGCCTAGGGTCATACACCCAGCAGAGGTCTTCCTTCTTAGCTCCAAAGCCAATTCCCTCTCCACTCTGGTAGGCTGCCTCTCTAGAACAAGTAACACTCCACCTCATTGGGCACTAGGCCAGGAATGTAGCACTAGGTCTGAGTTCAAGCCCTGTTTCAGCCATTTATTAGCTGTGTAACCCTGGGCAAATCATTTGACCTCTCCTTACCTCAGTTTCCTCACCTGTAAAATGGGGATAATAATAGCACCTAGCTCCCAGGGTTGTTGGGAGGATCAAATGAAATAGTACTTATCAAAGTGCTTTGCAGACTTAAAGCACTACATATTAAGACACTATAATGATTGCCCTTGTTGTATTCATGGGTAGTTTACAAATAACTTTTACTTCATGACAACTCTGTGAGGTAAACAGGTCAGTTATACTTTCCAAATGAAGAAACTGGAGCTCATGGTGATGTAATGCTTTGCCCCAAGGTCACACGAGTAATTGGTAGTGGAGAAAGGACTCAAACGACTGGGGCTCCCAACTCCCATCCAGGTAGTCCTTTTCCGACCTGGTCCTCCTTACTATTCTCAACTTTTTTTTTTTAAGGAAATTAGGGTTAAGTGACTTGCCCAGGGTCACATAGTTAGTAAGTGTCAGGCATCTGAGGCTGGATCTGAACTCAGGTCCTCCTGACTCCAGGGTCAGGGCTCTATTCACTGTGCATCTAGCTGTTCCCATTCTCAACTTTTCTGAAGTATGGGGCACTATGGACTCCTCTTTCTCCTCCTGGATACACTCTGGGCTTCGGTGCCCCACCCACCCATGCCTGCCATCACTTTCCCTCTGTATCTTTCATTTACCCATTTATACATCTTGTAGGTACCTAGTTATTGATTTACATGTTGTCTCCCCCATTAGGAATGTGAGCTACTTGAGGGCACAGACTCTAAGCTTCTGTCTTTCTTTGCATCCTCAGCGCTGGGCACAGTGCCTGGTACATAGCAGGTACTTAATAAATGCTGGTTGACTGAATGACTTTCCTGCTTCTCCTCCTACCTGCCTGGCTGCTCCTTCTCAGTCTCTTTTGCAAGAACATCACCCTTGTCCTACTCTTCTAATTCGGGGCAGGGGGTGTGTTTATTTTATGCCTCTATTCTGGGCTTTCTTCTCTCTCTCCCTCCAAATTCACCCCTTTTCTGAATTCCCCCTATTTCTGTCCAGGGCACCCCCATACACCCAGTCATCCAAGTTCACAATTGCAGATTAGGATTCTTTCTCACTGCTCACGTCCAACCAGTGATGAGCTCTTCTATTTCCACGACACACGGCCACCACCCTAGTTCAGACCCTCATCATCTCTCTCTTGGAATACTGCAATAATTGGTCCCTCCGCCTCCAGTCTTCCCTTACTCCACTCCATTCTCCACTCAGCTGCCAAAGAGATTCTCCCAAAGCTCAGGTCTTCCCCTACTCAATAAACTCCAGTGGCTCCCTATTACCCCAAGGATCAAATAGAAAGACCTGTTTGGCATGCAATGCCCTTCACAATCTGGATCCTGACAATCTTTCTTTCTTTTTTTTTTAATATAAATTTATTTATTTTTAGTTTTCAACATTCACTCCCACAAGTTTTTGAATTCCAAATTTTCACCCCATCTCCCCCTCCCCCCCCCAAAGATGGGATGCATTCTGAATATCCCTTCCTCTAGTCTGTCCTCTCTTCTATCTCTCTCCCCTTCTCTTATCCCCTTCCCCTTCTATTTTCCTGTAGGGCAGGACAGACTTCTGTACCCCATTTCCTGTATTTCTTATTTCCCAGTAGCATGTGAAAACATTTTTTAACATATGTTTTTAAAACTTTAGGTTTCAAATTTTCTCTCTTCCTCCCTCCCACCCACCCTCATTGAAAAGGCAAGCAACTCAATATAGGTTGTATGTGCAGTTATGCAAAACATTCCATAGTAGACATGTTGTGAAAAACTAACTCTATTTCCCTTAATCCTATCCTGCCCTCCCATTTATTCTATTCTTTCTTTTGACCCTGTCCTCCTCAGAAGTATTTACTTCTGATTACCCCTTTCCCAATCTGCCCTCCTCTCTATCATCCCCTGCTCTCTTGTCCCTTCTCCCCCTATTTTCCTGTAGGGTAAGACAGATTTCCATACCCAATTGAATGTGTATGTTATTCTCCTTAAGCCAAATCCTATGAGAATAAGATTCACTCATTCCTCTCACCTTCCCCGTTTCCCCTCCACTGTAAGAGACTTTTCTTTGTTTTTTTTTGTGAGATAATTTACCCCATTCTACCTCTCCCTTTCTTCTCTAGTATATCCTCTCTCATCCCTTAATTTTATTCTCCAGATATGACCCCTTAATCTTCAACTCACCCTGTGCCTCTATCTATCTATCTACATATAATACATATAATTTTTTTCCTCCAACTACCCTAATACTGACAAAGGTCTCATGAGTTATAAATATCATCTTTCCATGCAGGAATGTAAACAGTTCAATCTTAATAAGTCTCTTATGATTTCTCTTTCCTGTTTACCTCTTCATGTTCCACTTGAGTCCTGTATTTGAAAGTCAAATTTTCTATTCAGCTCTGGTCTTTTCATCAGGAATGCTTGAAAGTCCTCTATTTCACTGAATGACCATTTTTTCCCCTGAAGGATTATACTCAGTTTTGCTGGGTAGGTGATTCTTGGTTGTAATCCTATCCTTTGCCCTCCGAATATTATATTCCATGCCCTGTGGTCCTTTAATGTAGAAGCTGCTAAATCTTGTGTTATCCTGATTGTGTTTCCACAGTACTTGAATGTTTCCTTCTGGCAGCTTGTAATATTTTCTCCTTGACCTGGGAACTCTGGAATTTGGCTACAATATTCCTAGGAGTTTTCCTTTGGGGATCTCTTTCAGGAGGAGATCTGTGGATTCTTTCAATTTCTATTTTGCCCTCTGGTTCTAAATATCAGGGCAGTTTTCCTTGATAATTTCTTGAAAGATGATGTCTAGGCTCTTTTTTTGATCATGGCTTTCAGATAGTCCAATAATTTTTAAATTCTCTCTCCTGGATCTATTTTCCAGGTCAGTTGTTTTTCCAATGAGATATTTCACATTGTTTTCTAATTTTTCATTCTTTTGGATTTGTTTACTGTCTTGATTTCTCATAAAGTCACTGTCTTCCAATTGCTCTATTCTAATTTTTAAGGAAGTATTTTCTTCAGTAATCTTTTGGACTTCCTTTTCCATTTGGCCAATTTTGCTTTTTAGGGCATTTTCTCCTCATTGGCTTTTTGGACCTCTTTTGCCATTTGGGTTAGGCTATTTTTTAAGGTGTTATTTTCTTCAGTATTTTTTGGGTCTCCTTTAGCAAGCTGTTGACTTGTTTTTCATGATTTTCTTGCATCACTCTCATTTCTCTTCCCAGTTTTTCCTCTACTTCCCTTACTTGCTTCTCAAAATCCCTTTTGAGCTCTTCCAAGGCCTGGGACTGATTCATATTTTTCTTGGAGGCTTTGGATGTAGGAGCTTTGACTTTGTTGTCTTCTTCTGGTTGTATATTTTGATCTTCTTTTTCACCAAAGTAAGATATATGTCTGACTCTTTTTGCGCTGCTTGCTCATGATCCCAGCCAATTACTTGAGTTTTAAACTCTTTGTTAAGGTAAGAGTCTGCTTCCAATGTGGAGAATGTACTGTCCCAAGCTTCAGGGGTTTGTAGCTGTTTTCAGAGATACTTGTAGGGACCTGTAAATTTTCAGTTCTTCCAAGGTGGTATGATAAGGGGCAGGTGTTTACTCCTTTCCTGGCCTGTGACCACAAGTATTCCTTTCTGTCCTGTAACTGTGAGGAGGGTTCCTCTCCACAGCCACTACAAGCTCCACCAGCCAGCTCCTCCTCACCCCAGCACTGCGCCCAGAACTGTGACCCAGATCCAAACGTGGGCAAAGCAAGAGATTCCTGCCTCTCTGCTCAGCCACTGGATTCTCCCTCAGTCTGTGGGCCGGAAGCTCGGGAAGCAGCTGCCCCGCCCCCCCAGGGCCACTCTTGGGGAATGGAGCAGAAACCCCACCTTCCTGTCTCAGCACTGACAGAAACAGACTTTTCCCACTGACCTTCTAAGTTGTCTTTGGCATTCGTGCATTGAGGAGTCTGGAAACCTCCACAGCTGCCCACGATTCAGTCCTCTGAGGCCTGCTCCAGGTCCCAGCCTGGTGCGATACACCTTTCTGATCAATCATTCAGGTTGTCTTGGGCTGGAAATTTGTTTCACTCTGTCTTTTTGTGGGTTCTGCTGCTTCAGAATTTGTTTAGAGCCATTTTTTATGAGTATTTGGAGGGGTTTGGAGGAGAGCTCAACCAAGTCACTACTTTCACTCTGCCATCTTGGCTCCGCCCCATCCTGACAATCTTTCTAAGATTAGTACAAATCAGAGCCCTCCTTGCACTTAATGCTCCGGGCCAAACTGGCCTTCTCGCCTTTCCTCACCCGGGACATTCAATCTCCCATCCCCACGTCTATAAAGGCACCGGTCATGCCCAAGGCCTGGACTGTTTTTCTTCCTCACTGCCACTTTGTAGAACACTTCACTTTCCTTCAAAGCTCAGGCCAAGTGAGCAGCCCTTGTGTTAGTCGTGTCAGTCATGTCTGACTCTTCATGACCCCGTTTAGGGTTGTCTTGGCAGAGATACTGGAGCGGTTTGCCATTTCCTTCTCCAGCTCATTTTACAAATCAAGAAACTGAGGCCAACAGGGTGAAGTGACTTGTCCAGGGTCACCCAGCTAGGAAGTGTCTAAGGCTACATTTGAACTCAGATCTTCCTGACTTTAGTCCTGACTGCTCTAACCGCAGTGCCATCCAGCTGCCTTAGAACCAGTCCTTACCTCAGGCCTTTCCTGGTTTCCTTACCTCCTCAGGCCACTTTCCCACTCATTTATTTTGTATGCATTTTGAATTTAGAAATAAGTGGCAGCTTTCTCTGTATGTATATTCTGCACAGTGAAGAGGGTATAAAACTGGCCTCAGAGTTATAGAGACCTGGGTTCAATTCTTGCCTTCGAGACATCCTGACTGTATGATCCTGGTCATGTCATTTGACTTCTAAGGGTTCTAGGCAAATCTCCAGGACAATAAGTTGTAGAGGAGGCAGCAACCTGCACTGGAAGAGGGAGTTTCCTTATCTGGGAATTTCCCAAGCCAATGAAATCACAGGTCCAGGCTCTATCCCTATTTACTTATCTATATACATGTTTCTGTCTATAGAATGTAAGCTCTGTGAACAGTAAAGTATTATAACTGTAAGTATTTAAGTTATAAATTCAACAGATCTGTAAATAGTTTGAAGCTCAGACTTTAAGCTTAAATTCACTGTATCTGTAAACATTTCAGCAATTTCTGACTTGGGAGGATCCCTGCCTTCCCTTCTTTGCCCCAGCCGAAGGGCCCTTCCCCAGGGGGTGTGAAAAGTCACTTGAAGAAGGAAGGTGGGTGGAGAGGAAGGAAGAAGAGAGGAGGGGAGGGAAGGACGGCCTGTCCTCTCTCCTTGGCTCACCTTACTACATCCACAGCACCTGCTCGCACCTTGGGGTCACTGCCCATGATGGAGACGCTGGCGGCAAAGGAACCATCAATGCTGAAGACTACAAACTCTGTCCCCTTGGGTAGGACGGTGATGTAGCTGTCTGCGGATGTGTGGTCCCCCCTGTTGGGAAAGAGCCATCAGAGTCCCAGGACTGAGTGTCTCCTCCACCCCACGCCCAGGACTTCCCCTGGTGCCAACATAACGTCTTGCCTAAGGGCTCTTCTGGGGGCCCATTCTCTGATCTCAACACCCTCAAGGATTACCAAGTCCCACCAAAGCTCATGGGGCCAGTTTAGCGCCCCAGTCAGACACTCTTAACAAGCTGCCATCCTCATACTAGAGGGTGGGAAACCCTTTCTTCCTACAGCAGGGGCCTATAGAGAGGTGGATCTCAAGGTCCTGGTTGACCAGGGTTGGAAAGCCCAGGATTGTAGACTTAAGGGCTGTGCAACCCCCTCAGTTTTATAAAGGAGGCCACTTGGACCACAAGCAGGGGTGACTAGCCCAACACCCTACAAATGGGATCACAGATTTAGGGCTGGGGGGCCGCAGGCTTATGTAATCCAACTCCCTCATTTTACACAGGAGGAAACTGAGTTCTAAAGAGGCGTGGTGACCTGCCCAGTGTCACGCAGGAAGAGAAAGCAACCCAGCTGGGATTTGAACTCAGGTCTTTTAATTCCAAATCCAGCACTGGAGGAAGCTTTGCAGATCCCACTTTTGCCCTGGGCCTCCTTTCTGTTACCCTACATGGCAGGTGCTTTTGGTACGAGGTGGTGCGGCACTAACCCTGCCCCCCCCATCCATGGTGGACAGCCCATTCCCCTCCTCCCAACCTGATGCTCTGAGCAGATGCCCATCCCCACCTGACCACCATCTTGATGGGGTAGACACCGACGCCCAGACGCTGCTCCTCAGGGATGGTGTAGGAGATTCGCCCGCTGCTGTTGGTGATGAGCGTGTCAAAATGGACCCACTCCCCGGATGGCGGCTGCGTCATGATGTGAATGTCCACCTGGGAGCAGGAGGGCAGGAGGGGCAGCTGAGAACCATCCTTCGACTTGGCTGGCCCCACAGTCCTGCTGCCTAATCCTGCCATTGGGCCATGGCCCCATCCCCCCTTAGCCTAGCCCTCCCCCCGGGAACACTTACCGTGGGACCTCTAGGAAGTGGAAATGATTCTCACCATACACTATGGGAGTGTCTAGCCAAGGCTGATGCCTCTGCTGGTGATGCTGGTGGCATCCCCGCTCTCTCTTGTTCCCCCAGACCATGATACGTTCCTGACCTGCCCCCCCCTCGTCCCCACACGTTTCATCCTGGATGATGAGAGTTGGGACTATTGTGCTAAGCCCCAGAGGACAAAATGAACTCAGCTCAAATCCCTGTTCTAGGATAGCTTTCCCAGGCTTCCAAGCTGCTGATTCTTTTCCCCTTTGACATTGCCTTCCACCACCTAGGCTGTCTATATCTTGTTTGAACCAATTTATACATTGTTTCTTTCCTTCATTAAAATCTAAGCTCTTTGAGGGCTGAGAAAATCTTTATTGGTTTCTATTTGATCCCCAGTACTCAGTCACAGTGCCTGGTATGTAGAAAGCCCTTAATAAATGTTCTGTCTACCAATCTATCTACCTACCTACCTATCAGTCATTTCTCTCTCTCTCCTTCCCTCCCTCCCTCCCTCCTCTCTGCCTCCCCCCCTTTCCCTCCCTCCCTCTCTTCTCTCTCTTTCCCACTCTCTCTCCCTCTCTTTTCTCTTCCTTCCTCCCTCTCTCTTCCCCACTATTTAGCACAGTGCCTAACACATAGTAAGTAATTAATAAATGTTGGAGGTGTTTTGTTTTTGTTTTTTCCTTTTGCTTGCTTGTTTGAGACCGGATCTCCCTTAGTGTAGCGGCCACCCAGAGGACTGCTAATCTTCAGGAAAGCTCTGAGTGGTTCTATTGCTGACCTGCACTGTGTTCATCCTCCTTGGGCCACTGAGCAGCCCTCTACGCCCGGGGACTCGCTACATTGGTGCTGGGCTTAGCTTGGACACTGGACTGCAGCTCGGAAATCCTGAACTCAAGTGATTGTCACCCCACCCCTATCCCTGAGTCCCCTCAGGAATAAATGCTCGTTGACTTAATAACTAGGGCTAATGGACGTCCTAGGAGCCAGACTTCAGCTCAGTTTGACCAAGAACTCTAATTAGAGACATCCAAAAGCACAATGCGCTGCCTTGGGAGGCTCATGGCTTCGTCTGGTCCAATCCCTTCATTGTGATAGAGGGAAACTGAGGCTTAGAGAGCTAGAAAGGACCTCATCTAGGACAACTTCATCATTTTTACAGCTGGAGAAACTGAGGCCTCTGGAAGTGAAGTGTCCAAGGTCACACCAATATTGGTTGGTGAGCTGGTTTCCCACCCAGACACGCTGATGCCAAATCTGATGATCTCTCCATGGAACAATTCCTGGCCTGGCTGACTATCTGTCAGTGAGGATATCACAGGATGGAGCCCTGAACTGAGGGGCAGGTGAGACTAGAAGCAGTCAGTCAATAAACATTTATTAAGCGCCTACTATGTGGCAGCCACTGGAAGGCTTCTGAGGTTCTTCCAGTTTTATGATTATAATGCCTGCAAGGCCACCCCTTTGCCCCATGACCACACCCTCCCTGCTCCACTCACCTTCTCCCCTGTCAGGGTGACCATGTCTAAGGGCCCATACATGAACCTGCCCGTCAGGGTCTGAGGACCATCCTCGTTGGCTATGGCATCATTGATCCTATGATTAGCAGCGACATTCTGGGGGAGGGAATGGAGGATAGTCAAAGGAGGTCATGGGATGAATACTGGGGCAGAGGTTAGGAAACTGCCCTGGGTGAGCTTGAGCTGGGGAGCTGTAAGATCAGGATTTAGACTTGGAAGGGACCTCGGAAGCCACAGATGAGGAAACGTGTCCAAAGGAGGTAGTGTGCCCAACATTGCAGAGGTAGTAAGTAGCAGAGGCAGGATTTGAATCCAGGTCCTGGGACTCCCACTTTAGTTATCTGTCACCAGCCTCCATCACAATGTCTATAGTTAGTCTGGTCTGGCTTATCCTCTTGTGTGATTGGGAATGCAGCGTTTGTTAATCTGGGGTCCATGGACCCCTAGTTGGGCTTAAGACAGATTTTTTGGGGGGGGGTAGGGAGGTGTTTTGTAAACTTGGATAGGGAAACCTTTGGTTTCCTTTATCCTCCTCTGTACTCTCTTTTGTGCATTTAAGGATATGATTCTGAGAAGGGGCCAGAGGCTCTGCCTCACCGGCCAAGGGGGCCAGCCCTCTGCCAGATGGGTGGTGGCCTTCTCTGGTGAAGGGGCCTCTCATCTCGCCTGTGGCAGCTTACCCGCAGCTTTACGTGGGTTCTTTTCCTCTGCCACTTTTCCCGGGGCTTTGAGGGGGTGAACACAGATACTTCCTTGCCATCCAGCTCCAAGATACTGGCGTTTTCATGCCTCATGACCTGGGGGGTAGATGAAGGAATGAGGAAGAGGGATGGCCTCCAGACCAGTGGACTTCAGCCCTGTCCAACCCGCCTTAGGACCCTCGGGACAGAGGCTGAAGGTGGGGACCTACCTGTCTTAGCAGGAAGGAGACCACATCGGTGGATTCCCAGTAGCTGGCGTGGAAGAGGTGGGGGAGAGCCACGGTGGGGAAAGCAGTGAGGGCATCCGGACAGTATAGGGCATAGTCGATCCGCTTTGTTCCCCACCATTTGGCGGCAACTGGCGGGAGAAAAGGCTTGATGACCGAAACGTGGTGAGACAGAGACAGGGAGAGAGGGGAGAGATGAGAGAAGAGAGAAAAGTGAGAGAGAGGAGAGGTGAGGAGGAGAGACAGAGACCGAGAGAGAAGGGAGAGACAAGAGGAGAGAGAAAAGTGAGAGAGAGGAGAGAGATGAGGAGAGACAGAGACCGAGAGAGAAGGGAGAGACAAGAGGAGAGAGAAAAGTGAGAGAGAGGAGAGAGATGAGGAGGAGAGACAGAGAGAGAGAAGGGAGAGACAAGAGGAGAGAGAAAAGTGAGAGAGAGGAGAGAGATGAGGAGGAGAGACAGAGAGAGAGAAGGGAGAGACGAGAGAAGAGAGAGAAGAGAGATGAGGAGGAGAAAGACAGAGACAGAAAATGAAAGAAATAGAGAAAGAGAAATAAAGAGAGGATGTGTGTGAGAGATAGAGAATGAGAGAGAAATAGAGAATAAGAGGGACAGAGAAGGAAAGAAAAAAATGAGAAAAGGAAAGAGAGAGGATGTGTGTGTATGTGTATGTGAGAGAGACAGAGAGAGACAAAGACAGAGACAGAGATGGAGAGACAGAGACAGAGACAGGCAGAGACAGAGAATGAGAGAAAAACAGAGAAAAGGAATGAGAGAGAAGGAAAGAAAGAATTATGGAAGGAAAAAAGAGGATATGCATGCATGTGAGAAAGGGAAACAGGAAGGGAGAGAGGGAGGGGGAGACAGAGAGAGACAGACACACACACAAGAAGAATAGAGAGGAGAGAGGAGGGGGCTGACCCCTCTCTGCCTAGCTCAGTCCCTAGGTGCCCCAGCTGGGCAGCAGACCCTGCAGTCTGCTGAGCATGATGCTGGATTTCTATGCCTCAAGGGGTGTCCTGAATGGCACTCCAGACCAGTGGAGTCTGATAGAGGAGCAGGCCTGAGTCCATATCATTCAACTTGTCCATCGATGCAAGCAGGCAGGTGCCAGTGAGGCCTCTGGTGGGGCCCAGCCTCATACATAAGGAGGGACCACATGATTCCACTCCACAATGTCTCCATCCTTAGGGATGCTTCTACCTCTGGCTTGGCCTTCCCTAACCCTGGACCCTCTGGGTGTGCTCCATCCCTGGGTGAGGCTTCTAAACTGGATGGACTACTCCAGGGCCAGGCCAGGCCTGGCTGGGGAGGGGAAAGAATGCCTAAAAGTGTTCTCTGAACAGCAAGATAAGACACATTTTGCAGGTGGTTTCAGTCACAACTGAAGGAGCCCCATGCTTAACGTCAGACGACCCAAGTTCAGTGACGGATTCTGCTTCTTAGTAGCTATGTGACACTGGAGGCCAGCATTCTGGGTCTCAGTTTCCTCATCTGTGAAATGAGGATGCCACTCACACCACCCTCCTCAGAAGGTAGTCGTGAGGATGAAATGAGCTAATGTTGACCGAACCCTTTGCAAAAACCTTAAATATTATGTTGATGTTACTGATCCCGGAGATTTCTCAGCATTGAGCATCAGATCCACTGCCTCTATCTGGAAATCAGGGTTCTCTCCCTCCCTGCCTCTCACCCCCCCTACAGCCACATGATAGAGAACCTCTCCCCGCCCCACTCCAGCTTCCCCCCACCTCTCTGCTTAGGACTTAGGAGAGCTGGTGGAAAAGGAGCCTGGCATTGACAGTGAGAAGCAAGCAGAAAGCCTCTGAGATCCGAGTGTGGCAAACAAGCCCAAAGCAGAGGAGACAGAGGTTAGGAGCAGAGCAGCAGGTCAGGGTGGGGGCATCAGGCCAGACCAGCTTCTCTAACGTCTCCTGGCATAAAAGCAAACAAGCAGTCGAGTTCAGGGCCTGGCCAGCCTAGATTGTAGCTGCTGCAGAGGGCTCTGAGGGACAGCCATGGGGAGAGCTCGGCCACCGTCCTGGCATTCACCTCGGAGGTCAGCCCATTCTGTTTGGGATGGCTCTGACCAAGACAAGACTTGTTCCTGACAGTTACCCAGAAACTCTACCTTCTAAGTCCCGTTCAGAGGGCCAAGCAGAACGACCCACATCTTTTTTTCCCTCTGCATGACAGACTGTCAAACACTTGAACATATGTACCGTGTATTCACTCCTCCACCCTCCAGCCTTTTCTCTCCCCTGTCTAAACATTCCAGCTCCGTGTATAACATGGACCCAAGGCTCTCGATTGTCCTGGATGCCTTATTCCGGACACCTTCCTGAAATGTGGTGCCCACAATGGGATATAATCCCCCACACGTGCTCTGACCAAGGCTGAGATCACGTACAGGTAAGTGCACATTTCTACACATGCAAATGTCCACACACACCCAAACACATTGCTCTTGGAGGGCTGACTGTCAGGCCAGTGCCCCTTCCATCCCCTTCCCAAACTGTTTGGACTCCTAAAATCTGCTGCTGGTATGAAGTTGCACCCTCCCCTGACTCCCATGGCCTATCTGCTTAGGGCCGGCCAGCAGATTTCCCTTCCCAGTTCCCTTGGTTTCAGGCAGGCTCTTTGGGCTTTTGTTTTTCTAGGCTATAGAGGTCTTGCCTGTCTGCCTCTGGATGGCTTCTCCAGCCCCAGCTGGTTGACATGTTCCCAGAATAAGCCACCAGGTCTACCCCAGGGAAAGCAGTCTGGGGGTTTGGGGGAGAGAGTATTGGTTATCCCAACTAATTTAAATATCAGCCAGCACCCAGACCCAGATCCTCTGGACTTAACTCAGCTTTCACCACCCTGGCCCCCAGCACAGGCAGAGAAGGGTTAGTCTTTAGGCCCAGCCCAGCAAGGACCCCAGGCAGAGCCCCCCCAGGGCTCTCTGGGAAGTGATGCTCACATTTTTGTGTCTAGATAGGTAGGGGAGGAGTGAAAATGTGCCCAGAAAGAACAGTAGACAGTGTGTCTTGTGGAAGAAAGAAGGCAGAGGGCTGCCTTCCCCACAATACCTTCTCCGATGTCCAGATTGGGGACTCGGTCCAGGCTTGGACTCAGATCCCCCGCCAACCTCTTTCTTACAGGGCTGAGGGGCAGCTCCCTTGGCTGAGGCCTGAGCCTCTGGGACACCGAGGTGGCCGGGGGCTGCTGGGGGAGGGCAAGCAGGGACAGGCGCCTGACACTGGGGGTGTGACTGAGGGCCGATGGGGTCTCTAAGGAACAAAAACAATGATGCTCATTAACACCTGCAAACAGGCTATGGGAGAGACACATGGAGCCTGTGACCCCCTCAGCCCGCCCCCCCCCCCAGCAGAGATCTTAATGGAAAGGCTGGAGCAATAATGACTGATCACCAGTGGCACACACAATCCCAGACAATGGGAAGAAAAAAGCAAGAGATAATGGAAAACACTGGATTAGCCAAGACCAGAGGTTAATCCCAAAGTCATCCAGACCTGAGACCTCACTGTTTGACTCAATGATTTCTTCCCAGCAGATTTCCTTTCCAAATTCTGGGCTCAGGCTGATGGCAAAATTTCTTCCTTCCTTTCTCTTGTTATCTCTCTCTCTCTCTCTCTCTCTCTCTCTCTCTCTCTCTCTCTCTCTCTCTCTCTCTCTCTTTCTCTCTGTCTCTCTCTCTCTCTCTGTCTCTCTCTCTCTCTTCCTCTCTTTCTCCCTCTCTCTCTACCCCCCTTTCTCTCTCTCCCTCTACCTCCCCTTCTCTCTCTCTCTCTCTACCCCCCTTTCTCTCTCTCTCCCCCTCCCCCCTTCCTTCCTCTTGTTTTCTTTCTCTCTTTCTCCCTTTCTCTTCTTTTCTTTCTCTTGCAATCTCTCTTTCCTCCTTCCTCTCTTTTTTCCTTCTTTCTTTCCTGCATGATGTTGGGCAAGTCATTCTGGCTCTCTAGGCCTCAGTTTCCTCATGTATAAAATGAGAGGGTAGATGGGGGTGGGGTGACCTCTAAGTTTCCTTTTCTAGCTCTGTGATCTTCTGATCTGTTGTGACTGAACACACTCAGATAGTCCAAAGCAGTCGGAAGGATTATGCTTGGAACAATCCAAAGTGGGAACTGTCAGGGACTATAGTCACCCAGCAAGGTAGGCATGGAGGAGCAGGAGCAGGGATGCAAATGGCCAGACACTTTCCATCTGGGAGAGGGAATGCCCAGTGGGTCTTCCCCTCAGCCACAAGCTAATACACTGAAAATCAGGCCTAAATGCTGTGGGCAAACCTTAGGGGTTTCTGGTGGCCGTCTGAAGGGTCCAGTGTGTCCTAACACATACTCACACACACTAGTGTATGTCCTGGCTCCCAAGACTGCTGGTGGGATGGAGGTGCGCCCTCCCTCCCAACTCCCCCAGGCTGAGACTCTCTGCCCCTCTCACTCATATCCCAGGGGGTTTCCAAGCTCAGCCAGGATCCTCTAGTCTCTCTGGCCTCTTCCTAGGCACCACGGGCCATGTCCTTTAGCCTAAAGATAAACTCAAGTCTTCCTTAACCCCCAAATACCTTCCCCCCCAGCCACCTCATGCAATCATCTCCTTTCTTTTTCCACTTGCGGCCACACTTGTAAAAAGGATTATCAACATTCACCACCTCTACTTATTCTCTGTCCATTCAACTCCTCAGCCCCTTGTCTCCTCATTCCCAGTGGGGTCTGGTGAAAGAGCTCTCTCCAAGGTCCCTCATGATTCTCTCCTGTCTAAATCCAACAGTCTTTTCTTCAATCTCTCGGAGATTTTTTGACACTGTTGACCATCTTTTCTTTCTCTGGTGCCTAAGATGTTGGACTCTAATGGCTCTCTTCCTAATTCTCTCATCCCTTCTGTTTCCTCTGGGGGCTCTTCTTCCTCCTAAATCTCTTAAGCGCGGGCATCTCCCAAGACCCTGTCCTTTACTGTCTTCTCTTCTTTTCCCACATTCTCTCCCTTGGCAATGTCCACTGCCCTCTCATCAATCAATGGCCCCAACACAGAGGGTTCCCAAATGTTCTTCTCTCCCCAGTCTCTCCCTGGGATTTCCAACTTCAAACTTAACATGTCTAAAATTGAATTAATAAGCTACCCCCCGCCCCCACCCAAATCTGCTTTGCTTTTACTTTCTATTTCTACTAATGCTTCAGTAAACTATAAGCTTCCCAGGGGGGAGGAACTGTTTGTTTTATTTTTACTTTGTATGTGTTTTCTACACACGTAAATGCTTGCTTATTTCCCCTGATAAAAAGTAAGCCTCTTGAGGGGAGGAACTCTTTTTTTGACTTTTGTCTTTGTATTCTCAGCACCTGGCACAGTGCCAGACAGTAGGTCCTTAATAAATCCTCATGGATGGAATGATCGAGATCTCTGGACTCCCAGTGGCTAGCACAGTACCAGGCACATAGGAGGGAGCACTCTCTCTTCCTCCATTTCAGACTGGGCCCAGCTTTCATTTCATCAGATTTTCTGGCTCCCTTCTCTGCCACATGAGGCCATTTCATTACCTGCCTCTATCCACCCCCTCCCCATTCCTTTAGTTTATTCTTCTAGAGACCCAGAGGGCTCAGGCCACATGGGGGCCCAGATTCGAGTTGGGCTTGGCCAAGCCCTGCTGCTCACTGGATACGAGGGTCAGATTGGGGATGAGAGGGTTGATGGGGGCGGGGTGACCTCTAAGTTTCCTTTTCTAGCTCTGTGATCCTCTGATCTGTTGTGACTGAACACACTCAGACAGGCCTAGGAAGAGGCCAGAGAGACTAGAGGATCCTGGCTGAGCTTGGAAACCCCCTGGGATATGAGTGAGAGGGGCAGAGAGTCTCAGCCTGGGGGAGTTGGGAGGGAGGGCACACCTCCATCCCACCATTGCTTTCTCCCCCAATTCAACAGACACGACATTAGACTCTGGGGACACAAAGGCGAAAAAAGAAACAAAACTAGCCCTTCCCTCTAGGAGTTTACATTCTGCTAGGGAGATGTAATTTCCTCTTTAGGAAGTTCAGAAGGACTCTTCTCAGTTGGTGGTATTTCCCATCCCTCAAGTATGGGTCTGAGCTTCCCGCCATGATGCCTCATAACCCCTCACGGAGCTCTCTAGCAAGAGCTGCTATGCTATGACAACAGCCCTTTCTTTGTCCCCTCCCACTGAGAGCTGCCCACCTTGGCTACAGTGGGGCCTATGGCCATCTCCAACCGCTTTGTTCCCAGAGTCCCCTACAAGGAGGTGGGTCCAGGCCAGAGGGAGCCACTGTGAGGGGCGAAGCTTCAAGTCCAACAAAGGCCCTTGGATAAGATGAACTCTGCCTGGCTCCTCGACCCACCCTCCTCCCAAGGAAGAGAAAAGAAGGCGGAGGGACCCCAGGCCCCACTTACTGTTGGCAATATTGGAGGCAGTGTAGCTGTCTGCCATGCCGGACACTTGGCTGGTGATGCTGACCTCACTGGCCCGGCGGAAGGGGGGGGCCGTACCGGGAGAGGAAGGGGACGCGTTCTCCGTGAAGACAGCATTGTTGGACTGGATGATGTCCGCTGCACAGAACAGAGGGATGAGTCGATCGGACTCTCTGGGACTTCTCGGATTCGTCAGCCAGCCAGCCCGCGAGCCCACCCACCCACAAAGAAGTAAGAGCCGGGGCAAGAGGTGAGAGAAGAAAGGTAGGAGAAAACGCCAGCCCCACCACACGAGGCCCCCTCTGCCACTGCCGCCACCACCATCAGAGATTCAAACCAAATGCCACAGGCTAAAGAGAGGAAGCAGGAAAGATTAGAGGGAGCAGCTGGGGCCAGAGCGGTGGGGATCGAGAAGCTTCACCGCAGCGCACAGCTGAAGAGAAGAGAGCGAGAGACCCCAAGGCCAAACGGCTCGGCCTCGGATGGAGCCCCAGAAAGTCTAGAAGCGCAAAAGACGACCAAGCTAGCGGGAGCGGGACAGGCTGGGGGGAGCACGGAAGGCAGCTCCTACACCCCTCAGGGAGGAGATCTGCGTCTGTTCTCCCCGCCTCCCCTGCCCTCCACGTGGCCCCCTCACGTAAGCGGGGACATTAGGCAGCAGCACGCCGGTCCTCTAGCCTCTCCAGCTGCGGCTCGTCATGGCCCGTCCCCCCGGCCCCCGCCCTGAAATCTGCTCTGGTGTTGATGGTCCTTGGCATGTGGTCCCAGGCTCTTATCTCCTTTCTGCCTGCTTGAGGACAGACAACTCACTTAACTGCTGGACACCCCTGGTGACTCACTGGACGGTAAGTTAACAAAGAGCTGCTGATCCATATTGGTGGAGGGAACTTCCATGCTGGCAGTGCCCTCACTGATGCCTTCACAGGGAGGGGGAGGGGGTCCCTAGGTGCTTTGGGTCTGCAGGGAGGAATTAGTTTCAGGGGGGGACTCGATAACTCAGGATGAGAACGGAGAGGGGAGCTCCCCAATTAATCATCCTACCCAGCTTGCCAACTTCCTTGTACTCTGTTCCTCCTAGCACTGACACAGCCTGGTACAACACTCAGAGATGGAAGCTGAAGGAAGTCAGGAAGACTGTGTTCAAATCCTGTCTCTGGCACTTTCCAGCCATGTTACCCCCACAGAGTTGTTTGCTCTTCTTGAACTTGACTGGCCTCTCAGATCACAGCCAGCTCTAAACTTAGGATCCTCTGATTTCTCCCATCCCCATGTTCTAGTTGGAAAGGAGGCCTGAGGGGCTGTCCCAGGCCTGGGAAAGAATAGGTGACATCTGGGTCGCCTGACTCCCCACATTCTATGCCCCCCTGGACCCATTGTGCTAGACAGAAATTCCTTAAAGAAGCACATTTTTCTCTTTCTTTCTTTCTTTTTCTTTCTTTCTTTCTTTCTTTCTTTCTTTCTTTCTTTCTTTCTTTCTTTTTGGCAAGGCAATCAGGGTTAAGTGACTTGCCCTGGGTCACACAGCTAGTAAATGTCAAGTGTCTGAGGCCGGATTTGAACTCAGATCCTCCTGGCTCCAGGCCAGTGCTCTATCCACTGCACCATCTCACTGATCTGTTTTCCTTTTTCTTAATGATTCCTCACTCTGTCTTGCAAAGACACCTCTCTACCTTGTTCCTACTGACTTCTAAAACGAAAATAATCCAGCCATGTGAAGGAGAGGACTGGGGTAGAAGTGCAGAATCTGGGTGACCAGGGGATGATCCCTGCAGAGGTGATCCCAGACCCAGGGCACAGGACTGGGCTGAAGAGACTGACACCCCTTTGCCAGTAATCTGGATGAACCCAGGCAGAGGCTGGGTGGGACACGAATCCCCTCTGAGCTGCCCATTCCCTGCTCTTATGAATATATCCAATTTGGGTGTCTGAGCTCCGGACCCTCTGACCCATGTTCTCAGATGCAGTCAACTGAGATCGACTTCTTGATTCTCAGGATGCAACACAGAAAACCCTGAGCTAAGACAGTCTGGACTGACCTTTGCACTGAAATGATAAAAAAAAGGTCCTGTGGAGAGTGAGGGTGTTTCTAGTTTTCCTGCCCATGTGAACCTCTTGGTCCCTTCTTCCCCTACCTCCTCTCCAGGTTTCCCCCAATCCCATGTCAATGAGGGAGCCTCTGGGGACAAGGCAGGGGAGCTCTTTGTCCCAAGGGTTGGGGGGAGAAGATGCAGGGAGGGTCCAAGCCAGGAGAAGATGCCAAGAAAGGGAAGTGGCTGTCTGCAGCCTCACCAGTCAGAGCCATGCAGCATCCCTGAAAGAGATAGAGACAGAGCAAGAGACAGATGGAGAGACAGAGAGACAGAGACATAGAGACAGAGCCACAGAGAGAGACAGAGACAGAGCCACAGAGACAGAGACACACACACAGAGAGAGAGAGAGAGAGAGAGAGAGAGAGACGAGGATGGGGTGGGGAGGGGCTCTGTCTGAGCTCAAAGCCAAAGCAACCAATGGGGACCCCTGGGGCTTGAAGGCTTCTCCTAGAGGGTCTGGGGGGAGGGCAAGGAAGAAGGGAAGGGAAGAGCTGGCTGCTCAGCAGAAGCTCCTAAGTTCTTACCTGCCCAGATACGGAAGCTGCTGTTCCCCTCCTCCCACAGAACCTGTGAGCACCAGAGCTGTAAGGGACCCAGGAGACAGGGCGGTGCAGTGGAAAAGTATACTGGACCTGGGCATTCTGGAGACCTGGGCCTGAATCCTAGCTCCAACACTTACTAGCTTGACTTTTCAGCTTCTGTCTCCTCATCTGGAAAATGGGGAGATCAAGGAATATGCTACACTACATTGCAGGGCTGTTGTGAGGAAAGAACTTCGAATGGCGATGAGGAGGACAAAGTAAACAAGCGCTTCTTGGAAAGGCTCATCACGAGTGAACCTCAGGGAAGAGGCGGGATGGGAAAATGCTTTGACAGTTTCAAAGTATTCTAGAAAGGAGAATCTATGAATCGAACCCCCTCATCAGATACAAAGGGAAACTGAGTCCCGGAGAGGGGAAGCCAGCTGCCCAAGCACACACAGTGAGTTAGCGGCACCAGGCTAGAATCTGGGCCTTCTGATTCCCAGTCTAGTGTGCTTTCCCCTGCAGCACATGACTGAGCTGCCCTTCAGCGTTTGAGCTGCTATCCTTTGGTCAGTTACATGGAGTGGACAGGGACAAGCTGGAGTGCGCCCCACCCCCTCCAGCTGGCAAGTAAAATAAAAGCAAGCATTGCTATCATGCTTCAAGGTTTGCAAAGCACTTGAGAGACTTTTCTCTCATATGGTCTTCACAACACTTCCAGGTAGGGGCTATTATAATCCCTACTTTCCAGATGAGGAAACTGAGGCTGAGAAAGGTTAAGGGACTTTCCCGGGGTCACACAGCTAGTAAGTATCTGAGTCAGGATTCAAATTCAGTTCTTGACTCCGAGTTCAGAATGCCATCCACTACACCACCTAGCTTCCTCCAAGTGAAAAAGGATGCCTTTGCTTCTCTTGGCTGAGACTGCTCTGAGAGCCTCAGTTTCCCCATCTGTAAGATGAGGGGGTCTGGACCAGATAGCTTCTAAGGTCCCTTCTAGTTATAAATCTGTGACCTTGTGATTATGGAGGAAGGGGGAGCCCCCGGGAAAAGCCTTCAGCCTCATGTGGCCATTGAGGGCCCCCCCACTCCCGCCCTGAGCCAGCACACTCCACAGATGTAGGTGGGTGGAGTGCGGGTGGAGAGAGAGGCGTTACACACACTCAGCACAGCCAGAACTTTTCCTGGACCCATCTTGGCAGCTCAGCACAGGAACGGGGATACTGGTTTCCATGAAGCTGTCCTGGTGCTGGAGGGTGGCCAGGGTGCCGCCCTCCAGGAGGAGCACAGGGTTGTTCTGTACTGTCTCGACTAGAAGCAGATGGGGAAGAGAACAGAGAGGACAACAACACACAGGCATGTGACCACAATCCTAAGCAGGCGGCTCCCCAGGGATGCCCTGGGCTTCACCCACCGGCCAGCCGCCCCCGGCACTGGAACAACACAGCACAAGAACCTGACAGTGCCCAGAGGCGGACGAGGGAGTCTTTTCACAAACGACCCAGGTCAACACTGGCTATGGACACAGAATGAATACACATAGAGCTCTAGAATGTAGGAACCGTGGGCATTAGATGGTGGGGGGTGGGTCAAGCTTGGCCTGCTCCCAGAAACCCTAGCTATGGGGTATTTAGAGCATACGCAGGGACGACAGGGTCATGGGCTTGTCACTGGCCACATGAGCTTTCCCTGGGGGGCCCCTTCTATCCCCTAGGTCCATGGGAACGCACTCAGAGGGGCTGAAACAATCTAACAGTAATCACCCCCTTCCCCGAGAAAGGAGCATAAGCAGCGTCCAGAGGGTGGAGAGACTGTCAGATAAGTAAGGGACTCCTGCCTGTCCTGTGACAAGGATTCATCCTTGCTCTCTGCACTGGAGGCCGCTGGTCAGTGGCTCAGCTGGAAGGTTTAAAGGTTTTCCCTGAGAGTGCTCAGTGGTAAATTCAAAAGAGGGATGCACCTTCTATCACTTCTGGGTCTTCCCCTGTGGGAGTCTCAGACAGTGGCACTGACCAGAGTAAGGAAAGGATTTCCCTGGATTTCCTGGGATTCCCAAGGATCCAGGCTGGTTATTTATTAAGGATACACTCCCTCCTCCTCCTCCTCCTCCTTCTCCTGGCCCAGGCTACTCCATCCTTCTTCCTGCCATGATGTTTAGAGCTGGGAGATGAATGATAAGCAGACGGTGGGTACAACCCCGGCCCCATGTGGGCCAGAAGAGGGAAAATCATCATGTTCTGAGAAGGGACAAAGACTGGGAAATCTGAAGCCTGGGTACGTAGATAGTCTCCAGAGGACAGAGCAGTGCTAAGTGGTCTAAATAAGCTGAGCTGTCTCAGGGAAGCTTGGCCTGGAAGAAGTAACCAACAGGTCCAGTAGTGTGAGCTAGATGGCCCTGGGTGGAAGAGGGGGGAACCAGGGCAGAAGAAGTCCAGACCCACCAAACAGAGGGGACCTGGAACGGCGCCTCTGTGTACCTGGGAGGAGCCAGCCCTATCTAGGACAGAGAAAGGGTCCCCTCACCCAGTAAGGTCGAGCAGCCATCGCCCAGGGGGAAGCGCTGGTAGCGGGGGATGTTGAAAGGGGGCAGGGCATGGAACCTCTTCTCCAAGAGAGGTTCAAGACGGGAGGCCGAGGGGTCCGCAGGATGGAAGAGGTTATAGACTTGCTGGCAGGCGGGCCGAAGCTGAAAGACTGCAGAGGAAAAAAAAGAGAGGCTAAGTGGGCTGGGGCAGAGCTCTCAGGGTCAAGGGACCAAAGGAGTGCAGAGATTTAGAGAATCCCAAGGGACCTCATGGGGCATTCATTGAAAGGCATTTAACTACATTTACCTTCCCAAGTCCATTACTTTGGACCTAACAGTATAGTTAAACTCCCTCATTAGACTGTAAGCTCTGGGAGGACAGCCACGTGTGGGAACTGAGCCAAGTCTGGGTCGGAGCCCTGCTCGGCCACTTCCAATACGGGTAACTCACTTTAACATTTACGGGCTGGTTGCCTCATCTGCAAAATGAAGAGACTGGATGAAATGACCTCTTGGGCCACCTTCCAGCCCTAACTCAAATGAAATAACACCTATAAAGTGTTTTGCAAACCTTAAAGCAGTGTGTCAGTGCTAGTGCTGATTAAAAATATTAGTAATAGTGATAATGATGCTTCTAAGCCTGAAAATGGGGGGAGGGGCTTGACTCTATGTGTCTTCTCTCAATTTAATAACCTACTAAATGCCCTGTTTTTTTACTTGGAGAATGGGGGAGTAATACCCACCCTGCAGGTCTGCTCCAACACGACAGAGATGTCATTGGTGAATGACAGAATTATAATTACTTAGCTACAGGGAAATCTGGATCAGGAATAAAGGAGGATGGGGTCGGGGAGCAAACAGAAAAGAGAGACTGGAGGGCAGGCTAGTTCTCATGGAGCAAGAAGACCATTCACTCTGCAGCCCAAGCAGCAGAGGGGTCTAGGCATCCCCTGGTGGGGTTCTGCCCTTGGCTTTGGTACTGGGGAGAAGTCTGGAGAAGCACTCCTGGCCAGCTCCCCTGTTCAGGTCCGGGGACTCACCATCCAGGGCGGGGATGACCGTCTTCCTTAGGGCCAGGACCAGCCCCAAGGGGGAGCCAAAGAGGAAGAAGTCTGAGATCTCAAATTCAAACTTCCCAAGGCTTCCAGTTCCATCCAGCATGGTGGAGCTACTTGAGCGACGGGAGCTGGGGTCGTTCCGCAACACACTGGAGTGTAGACTGCAGAGGAGAGGGCAGGCCCCCGTGAGATGGGCCGTGTCCTGGGGCTCTTACCCACCAGGGCTCGCCAACACCACCCAACCTGGAGGTCAGCGAGGAACGACACCCACCGGGCTGCCCAGCCCCTGGCCAATCTCTGGCCAGTGCTGGCTCAAGAGGAAGCCAGGCTCACCCCAGAAGAGGTCCCCAAAGGAGATCCTGGCTTCAACCAAGCACGGTCCTATTCACCCAGGTGAATGGAAAACCGTCTGCTCTAGGGAAAGGTTCAGTTGGGGGGGCGGACTGATCAATCAATCAATCAATAATTGGAATTCATTAAGTGTATACCATATGCTGGGCATTGGGGGAGCCCTCAAGAAGCTCACATTCTATAGGTCAACATCTTTTGCCTAGAGTAGGATGCACAAGTGGGTAGCACCTGGGCACTTCCACCTTGATCCTCAACATCCTTTGGGCTGACGAAACCCAACTCAGCATTACGAAGGAGGCTTGGGAGGGGAGGATTGGCAGTAGCGAAAGTGAGGAAAGTTTGGGGGTTTTTTTGGGTGTAGTGGAAAGACCATTAGGTTCCAAGTTAAAAGACCTGGGTTCAAATCCTAACTCTGCCATTAAGATAGCTGTGTGACCATGGGCAAATCACTTAACATCTCTCAGACCTCAGTATCCTCATCTATCAAATGGGCCACCTGAACTAGGGCATGGCGCTGCTGTGAAGAAAGCACTTTGTCAACCTTAACTTGCTCAAGAAAGGTGAGCCGTCCTATTAATTTTGTTGGAGAAGACAGCATGGTGCAGTAGTGAGGGCACTTGGCTTGGAGTCAGGAGGATCTAAGTTCAAATTCTGACTTGTGAAGAAGTCACTCTACCTCTCAGTGCCTCAGTTTCCTCATTTGTAAAATGGGGAGGTTGGACTTTAAAATCCCTCCTGGTTCTTTCAGTCTGTAACAGGACAGACCTCAGATTAACATAATCACCCCCATATAGATCAACTAGAAAGGGGAACAGTGAGCCTCTGAGCTTGGCCAGCTATTCCAACTTTCAACCTCAGAAAGTCCTCCCAGCCCCCTGCCCCCATTACCTGGAGAGAAAGGCCTGATGCTGTTTTATAGTGTCCATTTCATAAGTGGACGAATCACTCCTCTTTCTGGGTAGCTGCTTCTTGGGGTCCTCACCCCCATTGCTGCGGGGGATGTCAATGTTGCTTCGGCTTAGATGACGGCTGCTTTCCAGGCTGGAGCTGCCGCTTCCACTGCCGCTACAGCCGCCTCCGCCACCACCACCACTAGAGCTGCTGCCGCCGCCGCCGCCGCCACCACCGCCACCGCCAGCATTGCTGCCACCGCCACTGCTGCCACCCCCAGAGCAGTGTGTGTTGTTCACCAGGATCCCAGGGGACAGGAGGTCGGTGTCCTGGAACAGTGTCCCCACCAATCAACATTCCTGCCCAGGCATTGAACCAACTCTGGCCTCTGCCCCCATCTCTCTGGGATACTGGGAGAATGTCCAGAACAGACTTAGGCAATCTGCCCCCTGAAGGCCAAGGGCATCTGGGGAGGGGACCTCGCTCATTCAGCGCCTGCCTAGGACCGTTCTCTGCCGTGTCACTGGACAACATTTCATCAACATTTGCAAGATGAAAGCGCTCTCCCTTAGAACTGTACGAGCAGGTACTCTTCTGGTATGGAGCGCCGCCTATTCCATTAGGCTTTTTTGATGTTACTTCATTTTGCTGCTCCCCCCTTTTATTCTTTGTCATATGTCTTATGTCATATGTCCTCTAGGATGCAGAGGAGAGTGGGATGCATTGGGGAATGCAGAGAACATAAAAACCAAAGACAGCAATAAAAATTCACTTTGTATTTTTTCTGTACCCACACTGAATCCCGTTACTATGAAATTCCAGGCTCGGGGATCTCCATGCCAGGCCCTATCCCTATTTCTTCCCTGTTAGATTATAAGCTCCTTGAGGGCAAGTCCTGTTTTCACTTTTATCTCTGTATTCCCCACTGTCTAGCACATAGTAGGGGCTTAAATAGATGATTAAAGATCAGTTGCTCAAAAAAATTCCTGTTGATTAATGAATGTATGGTGAAGGAGCATAAGAAGGCTGAGGTTCAGGGTTCAATTCCTTTCCAGGGTTTGAAAGCTTTTCAAAGAGGAGCCGTCTGTCAGCCAGAGGGAGGCATTGTGGTGTTATGGGAAAAGTTACAAGACAGACCTTGGTTTGAGGCTGCCTTTGACCCTTAGAAGTCCCTTCAGCTCTCTGAACCTGTAAGTGGGTCCCCCCAACGTGACCCACCTCCAATGGTGGTAGTTAGGGATGGCCTGGAAGAGCTGAAGTTGAGCTGTTATGACCGGTATCATAATTTAAAGAGCTCACCCCAGCCTCCTCACATGCTGCATCAATCTAAGCCTCTATTGAGCGCTTGCCAGGTACCCAAAGGCACAAGGCATAGGGCAGGAATCTGCGGCCTCCAGGCCAGATGTGGCCCTCCAGGTCCTCAGGTGTGGCTCTTTGACTGAATCCAAACTTCACAGAACAAATTATCAAATGCGTGCTGTGAGCAAGGCACTGTGCCAGGCGCCAGGGATAGAGAGACAAACAAAATGGTCCATGCCCTCAAGGAGCTTAAAATGACAGCAATAAGAGCTAGCATTCACATAGCTCTTTAGGGTTTGCAAAGGGCTTTACAATACGTTATCTCATCTCATTCAATCCTCACTATGACCCCAACAGGTAGGTGCTCTAATTATTCCCATTTTACAGTTGAGGAAACTGAGGCAGACTGAGAAGTTAAGTGACCTGCCCAGAGTCACACAGCTAGTAGGTATCTGAGGCAGGATTCGAACTCAAGTCTTCCTGACTCTAGGCCCAGTGCTCTATCCATTAGGCTGCCCCAATGCCCAAGCTCACTTTCAGTAGGGGGTATCTGTGTCTATGTCTGTGTCTACATTGATATCTATGTCTATATCTATGTTGATATCTACATTTCTATGTCTATATCTGTATCTATGTTTATACCTATGTTGATAGCTACATCTCTATGTCTATATTTATATCAGTGTTTATATCTATGTTGATATCTACATCTGTCTATATCAATGTTTATATTTATGTTGATATCTACATCTCTATGTCTCTATCTATATCGATGTTTATATCAATGTTTATATCTAAGTTGATATCTACATCTCTATATCAATATTTATATCTATGTTGATATCTACATCTCTATGTCTATATTGTTTATATCTATGTTTATATCTATATCTCTGTCTATATCAATGTTTATATCTATGTTGATATCTATATCTCTATATCAATGTTTAAATCTAAGTTGATATTTACATCTCTATATCAATGTTTATATCTAAGTTGATATCTATATCTCTGTGTCTATATCTTAAGTCTATTTCTATACCTACATCTTGTTTGCAGATATAGATAATAGAAAATAATATTTATTTTATATAGATATAGATATGATAGGGGCAGTTCAATATAGTGGAAGAAAGAGCCACTGGGTTCAAAACCTGCTGCTGTCACAGCCTATGTGACCATATGCACGTTACTTAATTTCCCTGGGCCTCAGTTTACTAACCAACATATTTAATTTTTAACTTTAATTTTTATTATATATATTATATATATTTACTAACCTATAATGTGTGTGAGGGGGAGGGAGATTGTTCTCCCAAAGTCTTTTCCAGCTCCAGATTTATGATTCTATAATTCTAATTTGAGAGGGAGGGAGGGAGGGAGGGAGAGAGAGACAGAGACAGACAGAGAACTAACCAGCTAAGGCCTGGCATCTAACGACTGGCCCTCAGTAACTGCTTATTGACTGAATAACTATAGGAGGGGCCACTCTAGAGAAGCCTTGAAGGAAGCTCAGGCCTCCAGGAGGCAGAAGGGAAGAAGCAGTGCATTCCTGACATGTGGGATGGTCGGTGCTGGGGCTTGGGCTGAATTCGGGAAAGAGCTTGGGGCTCTCTGGCTGGAATAAACAGCAGGTGAAGGACAGTAGTGGGGAATACCTGTACGCTCACCACACTTCCCCGGCGGCTGCTGTTCTGACTTTCCGAAACAGTCTGGTTGCTGCAGCATAAGGCATCGAATGCTAGGATCCCTCCGACACAGTCCCCTATCAGGCAGACCTGGGAACAGAGAGAAGCCCCAGCCCATGCATCACGTTTGCTCCCCGGGGCCTATGGAGCCCTCAAACAGGTGAGTTTGAGAAATGAATGTGGAGAAAAGGCCCATCTTCCACCTCTAGCCAATAGAAATCACCCTGGGACAGCCCAGAGGAAGGAATTTTTCCTCCCTGCTCATGAGGGATTCTTTCAGGTTTCTAGTACCACCCCCTGCTCCAACTCACCCTCTCCTCCCTCTCTCTGCCACTGCCCTGGGACTCACCTGCCCATTGAAGGTCATGCCATCCTGAGACTTGAGGAATTCATTGTAGGTGTGATTAGCCCGCTGAATCACCATGGCAACCGCCTCCTGGTACTGGGGTGAGGAGGTTGCCAGCAGGGGGAGGGCTGCAAGAGGGATGTGGTCCTGGCTGTTGGAGAGGCAGCCTTCGTCATAGCTGTAGGGGCTTAGGCTGGAAGGCAAGAGAGGATGTGGGCCACAGGTTAGGGTTCATTTGTGACTTGTTGGAAAAAAAAAGTTTATTGATGCCTTATGGTTTTACATCATTCATTTCTGGAAATAACACATAAACATATACACACGCAGAGTAGCCTCTTGGAATTTGTAACCAAGAATCATTAAGGAAATATATAAGGACAAATTAATAAATAAGGCCTAATTAAGCATCTGACGTCATGACTGCGTGTGACAGTGTATGGCACATTCCACCCTTGCAGTCTCCCACTTCTTGGCTAAGGGGCGCGAGGCATGTTTCATTATCTGGTTGCCAGCACCGTTACTGGCATTTCAAGCGTCCTTGTACTGACCTTGGTAGTGGTCACTGCAGCCCTCACACCTCTGGCTATTTATGTTGCTCCAATAAGTCAGGAGGAATTTTCCCAGGTTTCTCCAAATCCCTCTTATTCATAATTTCTTATTATATAACAACATTCTATTACATTCATTGGTGACATTCACTGATCTCTGAGTACTCACTTTGCTCCCAATTCTTTACTACCATAAAAAGTACTACTATGAATATTCCAGTAGACAGAAGTCTTCATTTTTTGTCTTTGCCCTCTCTTGGGTATAATGGGATCCCTGGGTCAAAGGGTTGGGAGAGCTTTCTCACTTTTCTCACATCATTCCAAAGGGACCTGGGATTGATTCTTATAACCTGAATCCTTAAGATGTCAGCAGGACCAACCATCTGTGGGCCACCAAATTTGCCAGCCAACAGGAAGCTTGCCTGGACCTCTACCCAGGCTGAGAAGTGGCTTGACCAATGTCCATGCTATTTCTTTAGATGGTCATTTTTCCGGATTTGAGGATACCTGTCTATCAAGGACTGGATGGAGATTTTACTCATGTGAATCTCAGCTCCCACTGGGATCCAACTTCTCTTTTAGGTCAAAGGAAACATTTCTGAAAGATTTTAATCCAGTGTGTTGGAGAGAAAAAAGAAAAAAGGGGGGGGCAGGGGTGGATAAATTCTTCCTAACAAGTAGAATGTGATGCTTTGGGAGGTAGTGAGTTACCACTGTACTCAAAAGATTTAGAGTTAGAAGGGACCTCAGATGTCACATAGTTTAATCCCATCTACCCCCGGCTTTTTTTTTTCTTTACAGAGGAGGAAACTAAGGGCCATAAAGAAGTGACTTGCCCAAAGTCACACAGATAGTAAAGAACAGAGTTAGGACTTGAACCCAGGTCCTTTGATTCTAAATGAGGCTTTCCACTGTCCCACTGTCCTCTGTCCCTACCCTAGGCCTAGAAGAGGAGTCCAAGGAGTCAGAGAGGAGTCCGTAGAGACTGCTTCTTTTTAGGCAGGGTTTGGACAAAGTTGCCTCTGAGGTTTGGTGGCTCTAAGAGGATGAAGGTCATTCCCCAATTATCTTGTCTTCCATCCCTAGCATACACTGCTAATGGGACCAGGTCTAGAACACTTTCCAATGGGACAGAGGGATTTCCCTAGTAGGTTCCTGGCTCATTTGAGGCTTCAGGTGAAGCTGCTCTAATCTGACCTGCAGCATAAAGACCAGTAGGGGAGACCACCAAGCCCTTCTACACTCTGAAAGTACATGAGCCAATTAGTTCATGAGGTGGGTTAAGGGTGATGGTCGCCCCATCTCTGCCACTAACGCAATGGGAGAACGTAGATGACCTCTCCATGCTCGTTTTCTCACTATCAACTGAAGGGGTGTCAGCCCCTAACAGCCCTTCCAGCTCTGAATTTGTGGTCCCCTCACTTTACAGAAGAGAAAACTGAGGACCAGAGAGACAAAATAGTTTGCCTGAAGTCACATGGGAAATACATGGCAGAACTGGGATTCAGTAAGATGATGTTCTGGTGACTCCAAGGTCAGCCCGCACAGAGCAGGGCTTTTCCCACTCAGTCCACCACCTCCATCGTCTTCATTATCTCAGGCTGGGGAGCTGATTAGGAACTCAGTCTTGCAGAGGGTTAACAAGACCCTAAGCTATGAACTTTTGTACAGATCCAAATTTGGGGTCTTCTCAGAACCCAGGAGAGGTTTTTTCTTATGGGAAAGCTAGAAACGCTTATGGCCCTCCCCAATTCAGATTCCAGGGCAGGTAGGTGGCACAATGGAGACAGCGCCAGGCCTGGAGTCTTGAAGACCTGAGTTCAAATCCAACCTTAGACACGTCCTAGCTGTGTGACCTTGGGCAAGTCACTTAACCCTGTTTGCCTCAGTTTCCTCATCTGTCAAATGAGCTGGGGAAGGAAATGGCAAATTACTCTAGTCATCCTTGCCAAGAAAACCTCATATGGGGTCATGAACTAAACCAAATAATTCAGATTCTGCTCTGAGAGAAGGGCTTGGGTTGCCACTCACTTGGAGACGAGGGAAAAGGCTTCAGAGCAGATAGGTGGGCAGGGACCAGCTTGATGGTGATATGGCCGAGGGCAGCAGGATAGTGCACGCGCATGACTGTGTCAAAAGCTGTGGCAATGGTGTTGACATCGCCCTGTTTCGAGCTCTGGTCACCAGCCCCTGTGTCCAGGATGTTTCCACCATGTAGCACCAGCAGCAAGACGTGGACCTTCGAGGGCTGCACCAGCGGAGGGCTAGCCTCATCCTAAGACAGGGAGGGAAGGGGACACAGTCTGTCATTGCACAGGCAAAGGTCAGTCCACACGCCTAGCTAGGCACTAAAGGGAGGTGTTACGGTTAAAGTTCTCACTTCAGGGAGTTCACCGATGAAGAGCGGACACCAGCATCCTATGCATCGTTAGGAAAACTGAAGATCATCGGAGCTAATAAGTTGCTGTTTTCCTTCCAGTCACTGTATATATCCTGAGATAACTTAGCAGCAAATATATTTCATTCCCTGAGTGGAAAGTATGCTCCTTGAGAGCAGGTCCTGCTTCACTTTTGTCTCTGGAACATGCCTGGCATATCAGAGGTGATGGATAAATGCTTATTAAACTGACCCTTGCGGATTACCTACTGCGATGGGGAACAGATTCAGTCAAATGGCCCCACTTGAGGACCTAGAAGGCTACAGTTTGGATTCCGTCAAAGGGCCCCACTTGAGGGCCTAGAGGGCCACATGTGGCCTCGAGGCCGCAAGTTCCCCACCCTTGAAGCATTTTATAGAGGAGAAAATGGAGACCCACTAAATGACCTTCCTAGGGTAGAAAGATGGAAAGGGGATGGCTTTCGAGGTGCAGAAACAAGACCCCAGATCTACAGGGGAGATCCCATACAAAGAATACAGGAGCCAACTTTGTATCTTCATACCCCAGGGAAGAGCAGAGACTCCTGGGCAGATCCCCCTCCTGCCCATAGTGCATTTACAAAGCATTTACCAAAAGCAGTCCTTGCCTTCAAGGGGCTTATATTTTAATAGGGGAGACAACATGTAAAGAACTATGTCCATGTAAGATACATAAAGAATAGATGGAAATTAATTTATGCTACTGGTGGCATAGACTGAGATCTGGAAGGGACCCCGGAGGCCATCGAGTCCAACCCCCCTCATTTTACAGATGGGGAAACTGAGGCCCAGAGAGTTTACTTAGGCTAGTGACTCGACCAGGGTCACAAAGCTAGGAATGTATCTGAGGCGGGATTTGAACCCAGGTTTTCCCGACTCCAGTGCCCTTTCCATTTCATGCTCTGCCTTTGCTTCTTCCCTCTTCAGGATCTTCCCTTCTACAGGGGCAGGGGAGAAATCTCAGTGAACGAAATCCTGGCTCCCAGAGGATTCCCTCGAGTGAGTGGGATGGGCTGAACCAGCATCCCTGACTCTCAGAGCAGGAAGGGACCTCAGCGGTTACCTCATCCAACAGGTCCTTAGACCCTCCTTGACAAGTGGCCATCCAGCCTGGGCCCGGTGACATCCAGGGAGGGAAGCTGTTTCTATGGCCCATCCGAGTTTTGTTGATGCCTTTCACCCTTGGGAAGTCTAAATTTGAGCTCTCTCCAATGCCCAGCCCCAGCTTCCCCACTGGCTCCTGACTCTGCCCTCTGGGTACAAGAAGAACAAGGCAAGTCCTTTTGCCACTGGACATGCCAGCTCTTGGGATCCTAGAAGCCAGCTCGCTCACCTCCACCTCAAGCCTTCACTCTTCCAGGATAAACATCCCTCTAAGAATAATGCCAGCTGACATTTACTCAGAGAGCACTCAATGATTTCCAGATTGCTTCACATACATTAGCTCACTGGAGCCTCCCAACAATTCCATTTGGCATCACGAGTGCTTATTAAGGCTCTGGCCGTGTGGCAGGCACCATGCTAGGCCCTGGGGCTGCAGAGACAGAACAGGGAAGCTGCCATTCCAGGTTTTATTACACCCATTTTACAGGTAAAAAAACAGAGGCTCAAGAAAGTTCAGTGATTCAGCCCTGTGTCACTCAGCCAGCCAGCATCAGGGCTGGTAGTCAAGCCCAGACCTCCTGATTCCAGTTCAGCACCATCACCACATTAATGTGTTCTGACACTGGCCTTGGGCAAGTGGCTTTGCACCTGCTGCTCTGCCTTCAACTGCACTGAACAACATGGCCCTCCCAGCATGAGCTCATCACTTCTCAACTCACCACCAGGCTGCTAACTGAAGCCTTGAACGACACCCCCTAGCTCCCTCAGTCTCTCCTCCCTCATGACTGGAGGCCTGGACGGTGGAGGACCAAACTCCTCCCAGCGCCTTCCTTTACAGAGGGCCCGCCCCACTTGGTACCTGCTGCTCTGCCTGGATGCAGCTCCACGAAACAAGACCCTCCTTCTTTCCTGCCTGCCTCCTTATTTGTGCTAGATAGGAAGCTCCCTGAGGGCAAGGACTTTCTTCTTCCTATATATAGATCCCCAGCACATAGCACAGTGCCCTGCACTTAGTAGGTGCATTAGACTTTGTTGGATACAGTATTGGAGAATGTCCTGAGATTCCATCTAGTTCTAAATCTATAAACCCAAGTACAACCTATTTGAGATGCACGAGACCAGGCGCCCATGTCGCACTGGTCTTTGTGTCCAGTGCAGCCGGGAGTATATATATACACACATACAGGGAGGGAGGGGGAGAGAGAGAGAGAGAGGGAGAGAAAGAGATTGGAGAGAGGAGAGAGAGAGAGCAGAGAAAGAGAGAGGAGAGAGGGGGAGAGAGAGACAGACAGAGAGAGAGAGAGAGTGAGAGGGAGAGAGAGAGAGGAGAGAGGGGGAGAGAGAGACAGACAGAGAGAGAGAGTGAGAGGGAGAGAGAGAGAGTGAGAGAGAGAGAGAGACAGAGAGAGAGAGAGAGAGAGAGAGAGAGAGAGAGAGAGAGGGAGAGAGAGAGAGAGAGGAGAGGAGGGAAGAGAGAGAGAGAGAGAGAGAGAGAGAGAGAGAGAGAGAGAGAGAGAAAGACAGAAGAGAGAGAAAGAGAGAGAGAGAGAGAGAGAGAGAGAGAGAGAGAGAGAGAGAGGAGAGAGACAGAGAGAGAGAGAGAGACAGAGAGAGAGAGAGAGACAGAGAGGAGAGAGGGAGAGAGAGAGAGAGATTGGAGAGAGAACGAAAGGGAGAGAGGAGAGAGAGAGAAGGGAGGGTAGAGGGAGAGAGAGAGGAGAGAGAGAGAGAGAGAGGGAGAGAGAGAGAATCAGAAACAAACTGTTGACTACTCCAATGGAGGCTACACAAAGCTCTATACCCTGTGACCTTGCGAGCGAAGGACAGCGGCCAGGGACAGGTCTGCTCTATCTCTAGCCGAGGCCTGAATCAACTCAACTGATACCAATCAATTGATCAATCCCTAAGCACTTAGTAAGCACCTACTATGCACCCAGCCCTGGGGAATAGACAGACAAAGAAGAAACAGTTTCTGCTTCCAAGGAGCTCCCATTCTGCTGGGGAGATCACATACACATACAAATAGATCCAAAATAAACTCCGTCTGTGCAGAGGAGTTGGGCTTCCAAAGATGTGAACGGGTTTGAGGGCAAGGGGAGGAAGCCAGGCTTCTGGGAAGAGAGAACAGAGGTGCCGAGGCAGGAATGAATGAGGGAACCCAGGCCGTGGGGCGCAGTGGACAGAGGGACAAAGACTATTGACTATGGGTGAGCTCGGATGGAGAGGAGACTTGAAGAGCAGGCAGAGGAGTTTGGACTGAAAAGCCATAGGGAGCTAGGAGGAATGGCAGAGACTTTTAGGAATACTAGAATACGGACTGAAGCGGGGAGAGGATGGGAGCAGAGAGCCTCCAGGAGGGGTCCCCCCTCAGGACTCCATTCTGTTTAGGGCAGTCCAGCTCTCAGCATCTATTATTGAGTATCTTCTGGGCATACAGCAAGAGCTCAGCCCGACTTCTAGGGCTGTATCCCAAAGAGATCACACAAATGGGAAAAGGACCCAAAGATATTCATAGCAGCTCTTTCTGCGGTGGCAAAGAATTGGAAATTGAGGGGATGCCCATCAACTGGGGAATGGCTGAGCAAGCTGTGGTATATGAATGTAATGGAATACTACTGTGCTATAAGAAATGACGAGCAGGCTGACTTCAGAAAAACCTGGGAAGACTTGTATGGTCTGATGCTGAGTGAAGCGAGAAGAACCAGGAGAACGCTGTACGCAGTAACAGCCACATTGTGCGATGACTAACTTTGATAGACTTCTCAGCAATGCAAGGATCCAAGACAGTTCCAAAAGACTCATGATGGAAAACGCTATCCACATCCAAAGAAAGAACTATGGAGTTTGAATGAAGATCAAAGCATCCTATTTTTTTTCCTTCTGTTGAGTTTTGTTTCCTCTTTTTGGTGGTTTCTCCTATTGGTTCTAATTCTTCCTTACAACGTTACTAAAGTGAAAATATGTTTAATAGGAATGTATATGGATAGCCTATATCAGATTGCGTGCTGTGTTAGGGAGGGAGTGGGGGAAGGGAGGGGAAGAAAAATTTAAACCCCAAAAGTTTATGGAAGTGATTGTTGATAAATCAAAATAAATTAATAAAAACAAACAAATACATAAAAGAGAAATTTTTTAAAAAAAAGAGCTTAGCTCAGAGATTTGATGGGGGTCTACCAGAGTAGGCCTTGGAGGCAGATACTGAGCCCTTGCCTGAGACCACAGGGTTAGGATACCCCAAATTAATGCAAACCTAAGTTTACTTTGCCCATATTTGGAATTAGCTGTGTATAGGCTACATCCACTGAGTAGAATGTAAGCCCCTTGAGGGCAAGGATTCTTTTCTTTGTCTTTATCCCCAGAACCTAGGATAGTGTTGGCATACAACAGGTGCTCAATAAATGCTTACTGAAACAGGATCACGGATCTACAGTTGGCAGGGACTTCAGAGGTCATCAAGTTGAACCACTTCATTTTACAGATGAGGAAACTGAGGTGCAGAGAGGTTAAAAGGTCACAGAGGTAATAAACATAGAAGTAGAATTTGAACCCAGGCCCCTTTACTCCAGAGTCAGTCTTAACACTTTCCCTTCCACCTGAATTGAAATGAATGAGTGAATGAATAGACAGACAGCTAATGAAATATGACAATCTATGAGAGTACATGGTCAGCCTACAAATAGCCTGAATGACCTAACCACACGGGGGCATGAGCAGCACTACGTCTGAATAGGCAGGACGCTCACAGGAACGTTGCCACGGCTGCTTAAAATACACAGAGGAATTCTGAAATGGTGTGGAAAACTAGAATACGTCAGCAATGCGCAGGACCTTGGAAACCAGATGACAGCCAAGCCACCAATCAGAGCGATCATTTCATATTTATAGATCAGCTCAAAAGTGGCACCGGGAAATCTGCTTCTCTGCAAGATGGGGGGGCAAACCCGTGCCCTGCCTCGGGTGAGACAGAGGGATCATGGGAACATCGATTTTAGAGCTCAAAGGGATCTCGGAAGTCAGCTTGCATAACGACCCTTTCATTTTACAGTTGGGGAAACTGAGGCCCAGAGACGTCAAATGATTATAGAATCATATCACAGGAGATTTTAGGACCATAGATTTACAGACAGAAGGAACCGTAGAGATCATGTAGTCCAAGAGCTCTTAAAGGGGGGCGGGGAGAGGGTCCTGATGCACCCGGAGTCATACAGACCTGAGTTCAAATCCAGCCCCAGACATTTACTAGCTGTGTGACCCTGGGTGAGTCATTTAGCTTTTGTTTGCCTCAGATTTCCCATCTGTAAAATGGGGATAACAAAAGTACCTACCTTCCAGGGTTGTTGTGAGGATCAAAAGAGTTTTCTGTAAAGCATTTAGCACAATGCCTGGCACACAGTAGGTGCTTTAAAAATGCTTGTTCCCTTCCCCGGTGAATTTGTTTTGTTTTGTTTTTTGTGAATTTGTTTTTTTAAAGCCATATTTTGATTATGGCATTGCAATGTGATCAGTTTCCTTTGCAATCCTACGCATTTTATTTTGTGCATTTAAAACACTGCTCAGAGAAGGGTTCTGGGACAAAAAAAAGATTAAGAAGTCTTGATGTATAACTCCCTCTTTTCACAGATGAGGAGACAAGAGCCTAGTGACATCACAGGATTCTCGGATCACAGGCGGAGAGAGAGAAGGAACCTTAGAGACGATCTTTCACAGATGAGGAAACTGAGGCCCGAGGAGGTAGAGGGATTTCTCCCAGGTTACACAGCTGAGAAGTAGGAGTGTAGGGATTTGAACTCAGATCCCTTGATTCGAAGGGCACTGTTAGTCACACACCCTAAGAAAAACTTTAGCAAAGACACCCCCAGCCTCTGGTTCTTGCACTCTGCTTTCTGGACAAATCCCTGTGCTGGTTCACTGGGGTGTGTGTATGTGTGTCCAAGTCTCAGGGAGCTGCCAAGTTTGCAAAGGCGGCTTCTTCCTGCCCCAGTCATAACCTCAGTGTTACCCAGGGAGGCCTCCACCTGGGAGGCAAGGCTGCAGCGGGAAAGAAGCCAACATGAAGGCACACTCTTGACCCTGCTGAGTCAAGGGGCTCGCTTGCTTAGGGTGCTTCCAATAAAGCATCTTCAGGATGCTTAGGACAGGGGCAGCTAGGTGGCGCAGTGGATACAGCACTGGCCCTGGAGTCAGGAGGACCTGAGTTCAAATCCGGCCTTAGACACATTACACTTACTAGCTATGTCACCCTGGGCAAGTCACTTAACCCCATTGCCTAGCCAAAACAAACAAACAAAAAAAACCAGGATGCTTAGGACACCTCTAATAAAGCCTTTTCACAGTTTTTACGTATTTTCCTTTGCAAAGTCAGCAGAGGGCCAATGGAAGTAGGGAGTCTGGGGGTTACAGCAAGTCAAAAAAGAGATCTGACCTTGGGTATGTAACCTGTCCACACCCAGCACATGTGCAAAAACAGATAAACAAACAAACCCCCCCAAAACAGATGCTAGAGGATGAGGTTACAAACCCAGAGTCAGCTCTGGAGGGACAGGGTCAAGGCTATCACATGGAAGCAAGGCTGGGCTGAAGTCGCACAGGTAGATTTAGGATCCATGGAAAGCAATGGGCTAGGAAACAAGCATTTATTAAGCACCTACTACACGCCAGGCACTGTGCTAAGTGAGTGCATCACAAATACTGGATCCTCACAACGTTGCTGGAGGCTCACAACTCTGTGATGTGGGTGCTGTAGGTCTCCGTTTTACAGATGAGGAAACCAAGGCAGAGGTAAAGTGACTTGTCCAAGTCACACTTGTCCAAGGCTTAGTCAGTTGTCTGAGGCCAGATTTGAGCTCGGGTCTTCCTGACCCCAGACCCAGTCTTCTATCCACTGTGTGGAGAGCTGCCTCGCTGCCTTGAAAGAAAAAAACTTGCTAAAAAGGAGACCTGTTGCAAATACAACTTTGGATGGCCTCAGTCGCTTGGTCACTTACTACCTATGTGGTTTGGGCGAGTTCCTCCGCCTCTCTGGGCCCCGGTTTCCTCATCTGTACAATGAATGGTTGGCCTGGATGAGGTCTTGAGCCACGAGCCTATGACTGCCCATCCCTGGTGGCCTTCGAGATGGGGCTTGGGTTTGTGGCCAGGTGCAGGACGGCCTCCGGGGTCCCCTCCGGCTCCGGAGGCCCCGTGGCTCATCCCCGCTGGGGAGGAAGGCCCACTGGAAGCAGCCTCTGGCCCCGCCACCCCCACATCCAGAGGCTCACCTCGGCAAGGTTCAGTTGTTCCACGTTGCTGGCTTCTGAGTATTCATTGGCTGTTGGCTCAGTATACAGATTGTCTGCAACACAAAACCAGCCCCCAGTGTGACCAGAGGATGCTGGGAGACTCTGGGTGTATGTGTGTGTCAGGGCGGCGAGCCAGGCCCCAAAGCTCCTGCCGCTTCTGAGCCCCCCTCCACCCTCGGCAACCTTATCCCCAGGGTGGCAGGGCCATCAATGGCCCCGTCATACCAAGGACTGCCGGACTTGTAACCTCACGCAACTCTGCCCATGGGGGAGCGGTGATCACAGTCGCTGGAATAAAAACAGAGAGAGAGAGAGAGAGAGAGAGAGAGAGACAGAGAAAGATTGGTGATTTGGCCTGGCTTCCACCCATCTCCCCCTTACCACCCAAGCTGAAGGCAGAGGGCACAGCTGCTCATTACCATCTGATTCAGGGGTTTCGATCTTGTCCATAAGGTCATCTGAGCTCCATTTAGTGATTTCCTTAGGGAAAGGCTCCTCATTGTCAGATAGGTCCTCTGAAGGGGAATAAAGAGGGCGAGAGAGAGAGAAGGGGGACAGGTGCGTTTATGTCCCACCCAGATCTGCTGGGTCACAACAGAGGTGGTCTGGATGTGAACCTAGGTGAACACCATGCACAGAGGACTCTTCTTTGGAACAAAAGAAACCCTTTCAGCTCAGCACACGATCACAGATTTAGGGGAGGGAAGGGATAAGCATTTACATGGCGCCTACTGTGCATCAGGCACTGTGCTAAGTGCTTTACAATTATCTCATTTGACCCTCACAGCTGATCCTTATCTATTACAACTCGCCACCTGGCCATTGGTGAGAGTTTTTTCTTCCATTCAGATACTGGTAACTGGGCTCTACTGAATCTTATTCTAGTCCTTCATGAGAAAGGATTGCTAAGGAGTACTTGAGTTCAAACCTGGCCTCAGACCAGACACTTGACACTTACTAGCTGTGTGACCCTGGGCAAGTCACTTAACCTCAATTGTCTCACCCCCCCCAAAACAAAATTAAAAAACTTTGTTTTGGGGCAGCTAGGTGGCACAGTGGATAGAGCACTGGCTCTGGAGTCAGGAGGACCTGAGTTCAAATCTGGCCTCAGATACTTGACACTTACTTAGCTGTGTGACCCTGAGCAAGTCACTTAACCTCAACTGCCTTGCCAAAAACAAACAAAAAAGGAAGTAGAAATTCTCTTTTGTTCTTAGACCACCTTCATATCTAAGTCTATCCTTTGCCTGCTCAGAAGGTGATCCCCTTTGACAAACACCTTAACTCTTAGGTCCATAGGCTCACAGCAGGTCGATGTGGAGCTGCCAGGGACCTCGAAGGCCATCTTGTCCGTCCTCGACCTCTTGTCCAAAGTCCAGAGGCTGGGATTCAAATCCAGGTCCTTTGACCCCCGCCCAGGTCCCGCCCTTTTGCCACTATCTCTCCAGTGACCCTTTACTCCAATGTGAATCAATGGAAACTGCTCTCTTAGCAGACGTTTATAAAATAACGAACAACCAGGTCAATCGATCAATCAGCAAGCATTTATGGAACACCTACAGCCAGACAGCACAGTGGACTGAGAGGGCCCTGGGACTGGAATCAGGAAGAATCATCGTCCTGAGTTCAAATCCAGCCTCAGACACTTCTTAGCTGGGTGACCCTGGGCAAGTCACTTCGCCCTGCCTGCCTCAGCTTCCTCATCTGTCCAATGAGCCAGAGAAGGAAATGGCCAACCACTCCAGTATCTCTGCCAAGAAAACCCCAAATGGGGTCACGAAGAGTCGGGCACGACTGAAAACAAGGACCAAATAAATGCAATATGTCAGGCACTGTGCTCTAGAGCAAGATGATCCAAAGATGGGGGGGAGACAGCATTAACATACAGAGGAGTCTAAGAAAAAAATATGAATAATGGCATTTATGCAGCATTTTAAGTTTATAAAAACACTATAAGAGTAAAAACATCATTTCGATAAAGCTGCGTGCCAGGCATTGTTCTAAAGTGTTTATAATTATTATCTCATTTCATCCTCACAACAGCCTTGGGAGGTAGGTGCTGTTATTATCCCCATTTTACAGCTGAGGAAACTGAGGCAGGTGGTGGCTAAGTGACTTGCTCCGGGTCATACAGGTATTAAGTATCTGAGGCTGGATCTGAACTCAGGTCTTCTTGACTCAGGGCCCAGAGCTCTGTCCACTGTGTTTCATTTATTCTAACGCTCTGCCCTGTGATTAGGCACCAATCTGCCATAAAGTTTTATTTAACCTTAGCCTATTTCCAAGCCATTTCTATGCTAGAGAGAGAAATGTCCAAACCAGTGTAATCCCCCACATGCCCTCTGACATGATTCACTGCCTCGAGGTTTCAGTGAACACGTACGGGAATCTTGAACAAGGAATCTTGAACAAAAAGATCTAAAAATAGAGCCTGGGTTAACCAAATCTCCCAAAATGAGCAGTCGCCAGCCACATCTCCATCTACCTCCTCCCCCACCGTCTCAGAGGAATCTTCGGGGTTCCTCCCACAGATCCTGAATCCAAATGGAACAGGAGGCAGTTTGAGTTCAGAGGGAAGTAGGGTTGGCCCTGGATTACTACTTCCCGGGAGTCAAAAAAGGGGATCGTCCTTAAGTGAAGGATGTGGTGGGGAAGGCATCATCCTTAATCCACTCATCTGATGAAAGGCCCCTTTCCCTTGGGTCCTGATCTATCCCCCCTACCTTTCCAAGGGGCTTTTCCCAAGGGTCCGTAAAGATCTTTGGGGAGACATATTATTTCTTAATATTTCTAGAGAAACTAAAGCAGATTATGTCCCACCCAAATCTACTGGGTCACGGCAGAGGTGACAGAACCAGATTTTTAATATGATTCCCCATAGGGGTGTGTGTGTGTGTGTGTGTGTGTATGTATATATACGTTATATACATGTTATATATACATATATACACACACATATACCTACACACACACACGCACGCACACACACACACACATAATGCCAAGTAATTCAGGAGGACACAAGCAGCCGGGATGAGATCAAGAGATGCTTTGTGTACAAAGGGGACTTCACTGAGCTTGGGTTCGAAGGAAACTGGGGATCCTGAGAGATGGGTAGAGAACTCTAGTGAGGCGGTAAACATTGATGAAGCGCTAGGGACTGTGTGATAGAGATACAAAAAAAGCTAAAAGGGGCAGCTAAGTGGCATAGTGGATAGAGTACCAGCCCTGGAGTCAGGAGGACCTGAGTTCAAATCCAGCCTCAGACACTTGACACTTACTAGCTGTGTGACCCTGGGCAAGTCACTTAACCCATTGCCTAGCCAAAAAAAAAAAAATCAAAAAGCCCCTGCCCTCAAGGAGCTCCCACTCTAACAGAGCATGACGAGCAGTCCTTGTAAGGAAATTACCAAGAGATAAAACATTGTTCATGAGAAACAGCAAGATGGGCTGTTTGGTGGGATTGTAGGGTTTGCTAAGGTGGTGCAATGGGTAGAGTGCTGGAGTCAGGAAGACCTGAGTTCAAATCTAGCCTCAGATACTTCTTAGCTGAGTGACCCTGCCTAACCAAGTCACTTAACCACTCTCTGCCTCAGTTTCCTCAACCGTATAACAGGGAATAATAACATCACTTATCTCTCAGGATTGTTGTGAAGATCAAATGAGATATATCTGTAGAGAGAAAACGCTTAAAGTGCTTTATCAAGGATAATTATTATTACTGCTATTATTAATGAGGCTGGAAAGATAGGTCAGAGCCAGATTGTGAATGACTTTAAATACTACTAGTATCAAGGAATTACTAGAGATTCTTGAATAATAATAGCTAGTATTTATAATGGGCTGCAAGGCGGCCCAGTGGATAGAGTGCCAGGCCTGGAGTCAGGAAGACCTGAGTTCAAATCTGGCCTCAGATACTTCCTGACTGGGTGACCCTGGGCAAGTCACTTCACCCTGTTTGCCTCAGTTTCCTCATCTGTAAAATGTGCTGGAGAAGGAAATGGCCAACCACTCCCAGTATCTTTGCCAAGAAAACCCCAAATGGGGTCATGGAGAGTCAGACATGACTGAAATTACTCAAGAAGAAGAAGCAGCAGCATTTATAATATGGTACCGTCAGGTCTGTAGAGCGCCATTGTCTCATCTGATGCTCTGGGAGGAGAGGTGTTCTTATCATCCCCATGATGGTTATCGGGTCTTCCCGACTCCATCCACTGCCCACCTTGGCAGGCCCTGTAGCACATGGCTATGTGTTCCTCAGGGTGATGGCTGAGTTGGGGAGGCCAGGCCAGGAGGCCACAGTCATACAGCCAGGTCCTCATCGGGGACAAAGGATGAATTCCCTGAAGTGGTCACAAGCATGCAAATTCACACCACTCCAAGTTACCATTATGCAATGACATCATTACAATCCTGTAAAATTTAGTAACGCTTCCAGCCCAGTGGAAATACGCTTCCTTAGACCTAGCTGTAACCCAGGCGAGAGGCCTGATTTGAGACAAGATTCCCAGCAGATGTCAACACGCCCATCAGGACTTTCCAACAGACCTTCTCAAGGAGGAGAGGTCCTGAGCCTCAGCAGACGACTTCTCTGTAGTGCTCAGAGAAAGAGCCAAAGTTGGCGAAGGGGGGAGGTGGAGGCAGGATAGGGAGAGGAGGAGGTTAAATTTCCCTTCTAATCTGTTCCTTGTTCTGCTTCAGATGGGATGGTCAAGTAAACACAGCTCAGCTCTGGTCCCCAGGCCTGGTGGTAAGTGCCGACAGACCTCAGGAGCCCAAGTCACTTTGCCTAAACTGTATTTGGTTAAAGGCAATTTGCTTAAAAGCAAGAGTCATGAAATGAAAATCCTCAGGTGGTGGGGTGTGGTGTGAGTGTGTGACTCTTCAAGCCTGAGACGTGGGCCACATCATCCTACTTCCCTCCAAGATGAGGGGACTGGACTACAGGAGCACTAAGCCTGGCTCCCACATTCACGACATTCCTTCCTCTCCATTTACCGGGTGGCTCTGCTAATGCAGGCCCTTATCAACCTTCACCTTAACTGGTGCAAAGGCCTCCTTGCCTTGAGTCTTGGCTGCCAAAGCCACCGTCCTAAAGCACAGATCTGACGGAGTCACTCTCAAGAAACTCCAGTGGCTCCCTATTACCTCTGGGATTAACACCTGTGTTGGGTGTTGAAAGACTCTTCCATCCTACTTATCGAGACTTATTATGTATTACTGTCATTGATGCACAAAACTAATTTGCAGAATCAGAAAACTGGAGAGTGGGAAGGGATAGACCTCAGTCCAACCCTTACACCAAAAGGAATTGCTACTCTATCATGGAGTCAGCTAGATGGCTAGATCACTAGGCCTGGAGTTAAAAAGACCTGAGTTCAAATATGGCCTCAGATACTTCCTAGCTGTGTGACCCTGGACAAGTCTCAGTTTCCTCATCTGTAAAATGAGCTGGAGAAGGAAATGGCAAACCACTCCAATATCTTTGCCAAGAAAACCCCAAATGGGGAACAAC